ACAATGGAATACTACGCTGCTATAAAAAGGAAGAACTCCTACCATTTGCAACAGCATGGATGGAGCTGGAGAGCACTATGCTAAGCGAAATAAGCCAGTCAGAGAAAGATAAATATCACGTGATCTCACTCATTTGTGGAATATAATGAACAACAAAAACTGATGAACAAAAACAGATCCAGAGACAGAGAAGCATCAATCAGACCATCAAACCTCAGAGGGAAGGTAGGGGAGGGTGGGGGTAAGGGGGAGAGATCAACCAAAGGACTTGTATGCATGCATAAAAGCCTAACCAATGGACACAGACACCAGGGGGGTGAGGGCATGAGCGGGGAGTGTGTGTGTGGGGGGGGTAGGGGGGGGTTAAGGACACATATGTAATACCTTAATCAATAAAGAAAAAAATACATGATTTTAAAAAACATATGTACTACTAGCGGCCAGGTGCATGAAATTTTGCATGGGTGTAGTCCCTAGGCCTGGCTGGCAATCGAAGCGCCAGCATCTGGCATGGAAGGGCAGGTCCCAGCTGACCTCAGGCCCCCACGTGCCCCCCTCCGCCTGAGTCACAGTGCCTGAGTCCCCATCCGGAGATGCAGTGAGCATGGCTGGATGCTGCGGGCCAGGGCGCAGCATGGGCCTCTGGGCTGCCCAGTGGCGCTGCATGGAAACTGGGTGGGCAGTGCGCTCTCTCCTGGCCGGCCTTGCAGCTCCTGCCCAAACTCACAGGGAGCCCGACTGCCCCCTGTGTTCCTGGCGGCTGCAGCCTGGCTCACCGGGAAGAGGCTGTGCGGGTGGAGGGGTGGGCTCCTTGCGGGTGCCTGGCCCCTGAGCGAGGGGGCTTCCCCGATGCACGAGCCCTGGCGTCCCAGGGGACGGTCGCAGGGGGAGTGAGAGCGAACTCGAACTTGGCGGACATACTGCATTCTCACCGCACCTCTGTCCCTGTCACCCCCACCCCCAGGTAGCCGGTGAGAGGTCGCAGTGCATTACCTACACCTGCCTTATTCCACGCCGCCCCCTGGTGGTCAGCGCACATCATAGCAAACGGTCAAACTCCCGGTTGAACAACTGCCCGAGGGGACATTGCATATTAGGCTTTTATTATATAGGATTATTACTATAATGTCTTTCCTCAACCTAGGCCTCGGGTTTTATTTTATTTTGTAATGAAATTTAAAATAGAAATTTGGTGAATTAGTTATGTATTGCTGAATACAGTAGGTCCTCTCGTTACGTTGGAGATCCATTCCTATGGCATGACTTAATACGATTTTCGCTGTAACTTTGAACCCACCTACATAAGCATCTATGTCACTCACATGGAGCACATACACAGCAGTAATGAAGTGAAACAGTAAAAAAAATTTAAAAGAAAGATAACAATTCCTGACCTTTACTTGTGGTAAATAAATATTAAAAAACATAAAGCACATATGTACATAGGTCGAAATGACAGAATTTTTTTTTTAATAAATAAATGGGAGATGGTGACATAACCATGAAACCACATATGTTGAGTCCCATGTAACCCGAGGACTGTCTGTACATCAAAAGGAACTTTAAAAATACAAAGAAATGATAAAATTATAAAGATATTTTAATAACATGGGAAAGGAATAAATCAGAAGCCAAAAAAATCAGTTATATTTCTGTATAGTAGCAATGAACAATTGGAATTGAGTTAAAAGAAACATTGTCGTTTACAGTAGCATCTAAAATATTAAGTACTTAAGGGTCAATCTTAGAAAAGAAATGAGACTTATTTGTTGTAAACCATAAAATATTGATGAGAGAAAATTTAAAAAATCTATATTAATGCAGAGTTAAACTTTTTTCATGGGTTAGAAGACTCAATATTGCCAATCCTCCTTAAATTGACCTACCAATTCAACAGTCTCAGTTAACATTTTACTAGGCTTTTTTTTTTTTTTTTTTAAGAAATTGACAAGTGGATTCTAAAATGCTTATTGAAATGCAAAGGACCTTTGCAAAGACAGTTTTGAAAAAGAACAGAGTTGAAGACTAATACTGCCTGTTTTCAAGATTTATTGTAAAGCTACATTAATCAAAACAATGTGGTACTGAAATATAAACAAATAGATCAATGGAACAGAATAGAAAATCCAGAAATAAAAACAAATATTGGAAATGAAACTTTGAAAATGGGTGATATGGTGTAGAAAAGATGGTCTTTCAACTAGTGGTGCTAAAAAAAAAAAAATGGATATGTAAATAATGAATCTTGACTCATACCTTACACCATATACAAAAATTTACTCCAAATGGATCATAGATCTAAGTGTAAAACCTAAATTCATAAAACTTTTAAAAGAAAACCTGGGAGAAAACTTTTGTGATCTTGGATTAGACAATGATTTCTTAAATATGACACCACAACCATGGTTCATAAAAGAACAGATTGACAAATTAGACCTCATTAAAAGTAAAAACTTATTTTCAAAAGGCAGTATTAAGAGAAAAAGACAAGCCACAGATTGGGAGAAAATATTTGTAAAGCATATGCCTGGTAAATGACTTGTATCTAGAATATATAAAGATCTTCAAAACTCAATAATTAGTAAACAAACAACCCAATGAAAACATGGGCAAAGATTTGAACAAACTTCACCAAAAATATATGAATGGGAAATAAGCACATAAAAAGATGGTTCTCATCACTAGTTATTAACATGCAAATTAAGACTATAGTTAAGCCCTAACCAGTTTGGCTCAGTGGATAGAGCGTCGGTCTGTGGACTGAAGAGTCCCAGGTTCAATTCCGGCCAAGGGCATGTACCTTGGTTGCGGACACATCCCCAGTAGAGGGTATGCAGGAGGCAGCTGGTTGATGTTTCTCTCTCATCGATGTTCCTAACACTCTATCCCTCTCCCTTCCTCTCTGTAAAAAATCAATAAAATATATTTTTTAAAAAAGACTATAGTTAAGTATCACTATTGATGTATTAGAATGTCTAAATTTAAAAGATGGCCTAATAGAGTGTTGGAGAGGATGTGGAACAACTGGAACTCTCATATACTGATGGTAGGAATGTAAAATGGTACATCACTCTAGAAAACAATTAGTTTGTTAGAACTACATACACTTACCAGGTGATCCAGCCATTTCATCTTAGAAATTTACCAACAATAAGTGAAAGCATATGTCCAGAAGGCTTGTACACTGGTGTCCATAACAGCTTTAATAGCCCTAAACTGAAAATAACTCACATGTCCACTACATAGGTGAATGAATAAACATATTTTAGCATATTCAACAGTGGACTATTCAATAAAAAAAACGATATATTGATACATAAAATAGGATGGACAAATCTCAAAATAATTATGATGAGTGAAAGAAGCCAGGCAAAGAATACATACTATAATGATTCCATGTATATCAATTCTAGAAACCAGCCTATAGTAATAGAAAGCAGATCATTCATTCTCTTGGTGGGGAGAAGGATAATGAAGGGTACAGGAAAATTTGGGGTGTTGATGGATATTTTTACTCATTTGACAGGTATATTTGTGAAAGCTTACCAAATTGTACACTTTAAATATGTTTATTATATGTAAACTGGGGGACTAGTGCATGAAATTCGTGCACGGGGGGGTTGTCCCTCAGCCTGACCTGCACCCTCTCCAATCTGGGAGCCCTCAGGGGATGTCCTATTGACGGCTTAGGCCCGCTCCCCATGGCTCTCTGCTCTTTGCAGGGCCTGCCTGCTTCACACCACAGTGACTGCCAAGCGGGCAGTGCTGGGAGGTGCCTGTGGGCTGTGCTTCCCTGCTCCCGGTAGCCGCAGCAACAGCCAAGCAGGCCGTGCTGGGAGCTGCCTCCTACCTGCTGTCAGTCTCCACAGAGGCGATGAGGTTAATTTGCATACTCACTCTGATTGTCTGGTGAACATAGTGGAGGGATGGTTAATTTACATGTTTCTCTTTTATTATATAGGATTATACCTCTCAAGAAAGTTGTTTTTGAAAAGCATATAAAATCTGGAAATATCCAAAACCTCAGAAGCTTAATTTTATTTTTTGAGGCACTGAGTTTAAAGATAACAGAAATCTTGACTCAAAGTTCATATTCTCTAGGTTTTTACCATGTAGTACCCAAGTCAATGTGTATTGTATGTAATTTTATCTTCTTTGGTTATAGTTTTTTATGCTCTATCTGGTATTTACATATGGAATATTTAATGATTCCTAAATATGGTTTATATGGTGTTTACATAAAGTTTCTTCACTATAAGGGACTGACTCCCAACTGGATTAAGATACTGATTTAGTTACACTTATTACCATTATCTTTATTTTTTGTGTGTTAGACCTTGACTAATTCATGATGAACTCTTCTTAAATGTAAAGTGTAGCTGTAGGAATTCTGTAACTTCAAAGAGAATGATTTTTTAAATGGCCTAAATATTGTTTATTATGTGCATTTTGCTCAGAGGAAAGCACCAGAGCCCACCTCTGATAGTTTGATTATTTATCTTCCATTGATTTTTAGAGAGAGTGGAAGGCAGGGAGGGAGTGGAGGAGAGAGAGCGAGCGAGAGAAACATCAGTGTGAGAGAGACACATCGATTGGTTGTCTCCCACATGCACCCCAACCGGGCTGGGGATCAGGGATCAAACCTGCACCCAGGTGTGTGCCCTTATTGGGAATCAAACCTGAGACCCATTGGTGTGCAGGTTGGCACTCTAACCACTGGGAAATACTGGCTAGGGCCAGTTTGATTATTTTTAACAGAGGCTTAGGCACTTGAAAGGATTATAGTAACCTTACAAATGAATTTATGCTGCAAATTTGTACTTTGTTGGAGGTAAAAGCTCATAAGATGATACTAACACAGGCTTCAATAGAATGACAACAATTTGATTATAAATCCAACTGGCAAGTGGGTTAGTTGATCACTGTTAACTCAGAAATACTTTAATTTTAAAGAGCCAGGATAAAGTATTTTATTTAATTGATTTTTTTTCCTCTTCTAGGAAATATAATAGCAGCCATGATAGAAGACAAAGGGCCAAGAGTGACCGACTACTTTGTCGTGGCAGGTCTCACTGATACATCTACTCTATTGGATCAAGAAATAAATCGTTTAGATACTAAGTCAACTGGACCTAAAGCTCCAATTATAGACATTGCAGTTATTAACAAATCAGCTGGGGAAACAGTACCTGAAGGTTATACTTGTGTTGAAGCCACTCCATCAGCTCTCCAAGCAAACTTGAACTATGGAAGTCTGAAAAGCCCAGAACTTTTCCTCTGTTATAAAAGAGGAAGAGATAAACCACCCCTTACCGACATTGGGTAACATGACTAATTTTCTTTTGCTATAATGAAGGGAAAAATTTTTATTTAAGGTGCATGGGAATAGGAATTTGAAGTCCTTGCTAGTTTTATTATTTTTACTTCAGGTTCAAGTATTATATTACATACCTCTGTCCACCCTTACTGAATTTCTTTGCATTGTACTTAAATCATTAGATCAATTCCTTTCAAAAGTTTTGAAATGAAGGGAAGGCATAGAGCCTGAAATGTGATTCCATTTCTGTTGTACTTATCAGATAAGGTTATTAATTAAACATAAAAGAACAAGAAGGTACAATAAAAGAGCATTTTTTTTTTTAAAGGAGCTACTTGGGTTATGTGATGAGTTTTTTCAAAGCCCTGAACTTATTTAACAAAGGAGTATTCTTGTTTAAAAAAATATAATTGTGCTTTGTGGTTTTTAGTACCACAAGGAGGGTATTTACAGTTTAGAAGGAGAATAGTTGTTATGAGATAGTTACTATCTGATCCACAGCTAATGAACAGTTTTCTCTGCAAAAGCATTTTATCCAAATATATTTTTAGGATAGCTATAATATTTTTTCATATGTACATGTCATGTATTATACTGTTATGTTTATTACAATTACCATCAGTTAGTAAAAACATAGGTACTTGAGTATCTTGGAAAGTATTTAGGATCAGCTTGTCCCTTTATACAAAAATTCTGTTGGAATTTTGATGGGGATGGCATTTAATCTGTAGATCTATTTGGAGAGTATTGCCATCTTGAACCCTGCAAGTTTGCTGAATCTATTGGCTCTAATAGCTTTCATTTGGATTTTTAAAAATGATAGGATCAAGTCCTCTGCAAACAGAGATGATTTTCTATTTCTTCCTTTGCAATTTGCTTTATTTGCCCCCCTTGTTTTATTGCTCTGGCTAAAACTTAGAGCACAACGTTGAACAGCAGTGGTGAAAGCAGGCATCCTTGTCTTATTCCTGATGTTATGTGGAAAACTTACCATCTTTCACCATTGAATATGCTGTGAGCTGTGGTTTTTCATAAATGCCATTTATTATGTTAAGGAAGGTTCCCTTTACTTTTGTTTTTATGAGAGAGTTTTATCATGAAAATGTGTTGGATTTTGCAAAATGCCTTTTCTTTGTTAATTAAGATGATCATGTGGATTTTTTTCCTTCATTCTATTAATGTGATGTATTACATCAATTGATTTTCTTATGTTGAAGCTCTCTCTTTTAATGTAACTATAATACCACATCTCAAAAAATTATTAATTACTTAGTATCATCATGTACAAATTTCCCTGATTATTCCATGGCTTATTTTTGTTTTGTTTTTAATATATTTTTATTGATTTCAGAGAGGAAGGGAGAGGGAGAGAGAGCTAGAAACATCAATGATGAAAGAGAATCATCGATTAGTTGCCTCCTGCATGCCTCCTGCACGCCCCCTACTGGGGACTGAGCCCGCAACCCTGGCATGTGCCCCTGATGGAAATCAACCCTGGGACACTTCAGTCCGCAGGCTGACACTCTATCCACTGAGCCAAACCTGCTTGGGCTCCATGAATTATTTTTAATCAGTTGTTTGCTGGCTGTTCTGTTGATAGTTGTTCAGATACTGTACTAAGAAAGGTAACAAGCTGCCGCATTTGACCACCACCTGTTATGCTCATTACCTCCTCCAGTGTTGCAGTAGAGCTCTGGTGAAATTATCCTAAGGCAGTGGTCGGCAAACTCATTAGTCAACAGAGCCAAATATCAACAGTACAACGATTGAAATTTCTTTTGAGAGCCAAATTTTTTAAACTTAAACTGTATAAAACTATATAGGTAGGTACATTGTTATTAACTTAATTAGGGTACTCCTAAGCTGGCCATTGCTAAAAACGTCCTCAATCTGATTGAGGTACGTTCGCTGAGGTCGACCCCTTCCAGCTCTCCCATCCACACTCGTCTTGTATACTTGTTTCGTCTGTCTCCTTTCGTTCATCCTTCCTATATGTCCAAACCCTCTCAACATACCTTTCTCAATCCTCGACACTACATCTTCTTTCACTCCACAGTGTTCCCTAAAATTAACTTAATAAACTTTACTTAAAGTTTTAAGTCTTAGTTAAACTATAGGTACTTTGAATAAAACGATATTATTTATTGATAAAATTAAATTCCTTACAATTTACCTTACAATATCCATAAAATTAAATCATGACAATGACTGGCCCAGGCCGAAAACCAACTTCTGCGCATGGGCCGTGAAGTTTCAATCGCACTGTACATGCGCGCCTGCACGTGGTATTTTGTGGAAGAGCCACACTCAAGGGGTCAAAGAGCTGCATGTGGCTCGCGAGCCGCGGTTTGCCGACCACTGTCCTAAGGTCTTCATTTTTTTATTTATTGATTTCAGATAGAGGAAGGAGGAGTCCTTCCTCTGAAATCAACAAATAAAAAAATGAGAGAGAGAGAGAGAGAGAGAGAGAGAGAAACATCAATGATGAGAGAGAATCATTGATCAGTTGCCTCCTGTATGCCTCTTACTGGGTACCAAGCCCGTAACCTGGGCATGTGCCCTGACCGGGAATTGAACTGTGACCTCCTGGTTCATAAGTCTACGCTCAACCACTGAGCCACGCAGGCCTGGCCTAAGGACCTCATTATGTTTAAATTTCAAAAGCTAAAAGATTGACCTTTCAGCAGCACCCTTTCAACGCCTTTAATATCCACCCTGTTTAGCCTCCATTTTCCTTCAAGTCAGTGCAATTAGAATGGTAGTCATACAACTTTATAGGATTATTGGTTACAGGAGCCAGGTTAGAAAGGGTTGAGAAATGATTGGCACTTGGAATAAATAGAGGTTTCTTTTTGAAAGCTTGACTTTAAGGAAAAGAGAAGATAGTTATGGATCTTGCTATTCAAGGTGTATTGTCCATAGGGCCTGTGAGCATGTTAGATATTCAGAATCTTAGGCACTACCCAGATTTACTGAATCAGAATCTGTATTTTAACAAAATCCTCAGAAGCAATGCTTTAGGACACCTGAGGGGTAAGGGGATGCAGAGTCAAGGACTGTTTTTTAACCTTTCTCCCAGGGGATAAATAACTTAGAACATCTTTATATTGAAGGAAAGAACCAGTTGAGAAGGAAGAGCTGATATATAGTAGTAAGAGATAGTATTTGACAGAACAAAATTATGAAACAGATGAAAGGGGTAATAGCAACAGCATAGATGACTGGATTAGCCTTTAATGGGAGGGGCTTTTCCATTGAGAAGGGAAAAGGAGGTTAAAATGAGTGTGAACACCAATTATTGATTGAGGTAGAGTTGTTCTGGACATGTAATGGATTTACTCTCAGTTTTTAACAATTTTCTCTATGGGTTGTGTTAAGAACATAGGTAATATATAAAGAAGGATGGCTATAGAATAAAATTTTGATAATATCCATGTCAGTTGAAGGATAACCAGGCAGGGACTTAGGTTCTAGCCCTCACTGTTCCCTCTGTTAGCCATCCTTTAAAGGCCATCTTTTCACACACACACACTCCCCCCCCCCCCCCGACTCTACAGTCATAATAGAAAGGATGCGAATCTCTAAAAGATTGTTGTTGCTTGTGGTTCAGTGGCACAACTTAAAAAGAAAATGATGACTTAGATAATTATACTTAGGTGCTTTCAGGTTGCAAGTAGCTATATACATCTTGCAGTTCCCTAAGGCATCTAATTTCTTTTTATTTTTTTAATATTTAAGGAACCATATTCTTTTTTTCTTTTTTAAAAATATATTTGTTTTCATTGATTTCAGAGAGAAAGGGAGAGAGAGAGATAGAAACATCAATGATGAGAGAGAACCATTGACCGGCTGCCTCCTGCGCGCCCCACACTGGGGATTGAGCTTGCAACCTAGGTATGTGCCCTTGACTTGAATCGAACCTGGGACCCTTCAGTCTGCAGGCTGATGCTCTTTCCACTGAAAACTGGCTAGGGCAGGATAATATATTATTACTAGTAGCCCTGCGCACGCATCCGCGTGCCAGGAGCTCTCTGCGGGGCCTGGCCGCTCTGTGTCCGCGGCCCAGAGGCTCTCCGCGGCCGGGGTGAAACACTTGCCTTGTCGCTGCGGCAACGAAGCAAGCATTCTGGCAGGCCGCTCACGCTGCCCGCTCTCAGTGGCCGCTCCCCCAGGACTGCGTGACTGAGAGGACTGGACGCCACCATCTTTGTGACAGAGTGGTGGTTAATTTGCATATTACCCTTTTATTAGCTAGGATATGTCAGATATGTTTATTAAGATAAAGAATCAGACTACTATCCAAAGTTCTTATCTTCTCCACTGATGAGATTCATTGACTTTTAAATGAATATTTTTCTCCAGCATTTTTTATTTTGTGTTCAAACATGCAGAAAAGTTAAGTTTTGAAATGGGGGAGTACGATTCTTTCAAATTTGTCCTGCTTCCCTCCCATATTGCTTTGCCTGTATGGGTTCCCTTCCATTCCCATTTGAACTTGGACACATTGCTAATTTCTACATAAAAAGGCAACTAGGACTTAGATAGGAACTGTGTTGACTCTGTAGATCTGTTTGGGATATATTGACATCTTACCATATTAAGTTGCTGATTTATGACCTCATGAGGAGATATATTTTTATTAACTCATCAAATAAATAAAGGAGTTTTAAGGGAAAAATTTTGATAGGAATTATGAAGGAAAATTTTGTGAAAATATCTGAAGACTTGTACTCTAGGAATTGACCTGAGCCTGTTTGTGATGTAGCCCTTTTCTTGTTTCATATGCTTCTTGTAATAAGCAATAAAAAAATCAAGTTATTTGATCCTATTTATACTGCTAGTTGTTGAAAAATAGTAAAGAGATAATTCCCAAAGTAATAATTTTAGTTTTGGTTTGCAATTAAGATTTGGGAAACAATAGAAGAGACCAATTATTTTTTCCAGAATTAAAACCAGCATTAAACTGAACTTTATTTACTTTTCTATTCCTCTCCTCCCTGTCATGCAGAGTTCTATATGAAGGAAAAGAAAGGCTTATTTCAGGATGTGAAGTGATCCAAGCCACACCCTATGGTCGCTGTGCCAATGTCAATAATAGTTCAACTACTTCACAAAGAATCTTTATCACTTATCGAAGGGCTTCTCCAGTTCGGCCCCAGAATTCCTTGGCTGTAACTGATATCTGTGTTATTGTAACCAGTAAAGGAGAAACCCCTCCTCATACTTTCTGCAAAGTTGACAAAAACTTAAATTGTGGAATGGTAAGAATAAAGTTTCATATTTTAAAAAAAGGATAATTTTTGGATTCCCATTGATTATTGGGCATATAATTTACTCTCAGTTTATATTTTCATGATTTTTAGCTTTCTAATTTTTATGATACATAATAATTTAAAAATCTTTAGCTATCTGATGTTTTAGAATAATTCATTCAGAAAATAGATCCTTAAAGCCAGGATTATTTGGGGGGGGGGCACATGCTAATGTTGCTTTTGTTATGCTAATTAGAGGTTTAATTAGCTTTTGGGTTTCAGTGGTGTGTGGTTTTTTTTGTTTTTGTTTTTTTAAGGACAACTGCAGGGAGTCTGGATGGGGACTTTTCTTATATGTATTTATTTTAAACTAGAGGCCTGGTGCATGAAATTCATGCACGGGTAGGGTCCCTAGGCCTGGTCAGCCATCAGGGCCGATCGGGGCCTTCAGGCTACTGGCCAGGGCCTTCCTTCATTCCACGCCGCCCCCTGGTGGTCAGCGCACCTGAGCAAGCGATCGAACTCCCAGTCTCCTGGTCAAATCCCAAGGGGACAATTTGCATATTAGCCTTTTATATAGAGCGATATTTACAAACTTATTTTTTTTAAAACACTTTTATTGGTTTCAGAGTGGAAGGGAGAGAGATCATTGATGGGTTGCCTCCTGCGTACCCCCTACTGGGGGATTTAGCCCTTAATCCAGGCATGTGCCCTGACTGGAAATTGCACTGTTGACATCCTGGTTCATAGGTTGAGGCTAAACCAGTGAGCCACACCAGCCAGGCTTTACATATATATATTTTTTTTTTAACAAATTTATTCTTTTTTAATCCTCACCCAAGGATATTTTCCCATTGATTTTTAGAGAGAATGGAAGAGAGAGGGAAAGACAGAAATATTGATGTGAGAGAAACATTGATTGGTTGCCTCTGGCACGTGCCCGACCAGGGCCCAGGCCAGGGAGGAGCCTGCAGTCGAGGTATGCGCCCTTGACCAGAATTGAACCCAGGACCCTTCCGTGCATAGGCCGACGTTCTATGCACTAAGCCCATACATACTTATTTTTTAAAAGGGTTCTAATGAAGAAGAAAATTGAACATATACATTTGATTTATAGTTTTATAAGACTAAAGTTTACTATTGGATCAGATTTATTTTGAAAAGTATGTTTATATCAAACTAATATTAGCTTAACTGTGGTGTAGGTAGAGAGGTTTGATGCATCTATGGTTATTAGGACAGGTTTGCCTCTGGAGGTAATGACTTATAGCACCCCAGTGACCCCAATCTTTTCTCGTTTGGACTCTGGTGTCCACTCTAGTTTTTTCTGTCTCTTTCAAATATAGGTAATTCTGGATGACTACAGAATTCTGAACTTTTTTTTAACACATTGTTTGCAGGTAGTTTTTATCGTGCGCTAACAGGTGGCACAGGCCATTTTTGCTAATTTTTTGCGCAAATGGCAACGTTCAGTAAAATTACGATAACTTTAGTTTTACATATTTTTTTCAATGAAACTTTTTGTGATTTACTATAAAATGTATACTGAGTTATTTTTCTTAGAATCGCACTGAATGCGTGGCGAGGCAGAGAATTGTGTGCAGGGATGACTACGCAGTTGAATAGATTACCGTTATACCTGGAAGTACATACATAATTCACCATTGTATGTGTTAGAGACCCAAATTTTGTCCTTTGGAATTTGTATATCTCATGTAAGCATCCCTTTAGAGCAATAAAAAAGTATAAAAATAAACGTATTTATACATTACCCGCATTCTACTGCTAGTCTATAAAAAACGTATTAATACGTGTCCCGCGCTCTACTACCACTCAACGTAAAACGTATAAATACGTTTCCCACATACAATGTGTTAAAAAAATATATTTTATTGATTTTTTACAGAGAGGAAGGGAGAGGGATAGAGAATTAGAGACATCCATGAGAGAGAAACATCCATCAGCTGCCTCCTGCACACCCCCTACTGGGGATGTGCCCGCAACCAAGGTACATGCCCTTGACCGGAATCAAACCTGGGACCCTTCAGTCCACAGGCCAACGCTCTAGCCACTGAGCCAAACTGGTCAGGGCAGAATTTTGAACTTTTTGAAATTGTCTTCAAGTCAGTTTAATATTGGTGGCAATGATATTTTACTCTTTTCTTCTAGTGTTCTCAACTTCATGTTTTGCTGTTATTTTAAACTATACTAGAGGCCCGATGCACAAAATTCATGCAAGAGTAGGCCTGCCTTCCCTTGGCTGCCAGCACCGGCTTCCCTCCAGCACCTGGGACCCGGGCTTCCCTTGCAACCCCAGCTTCATCCGGAAGGTCATCCAGAAGGACGTCTGGTCTAATTAGCATATTACACTTTTATTATAGATCGTCTCTTTTGATAAACATATGCTTTAAACAGACTCCCTGAATAAATAATCAGAATCTTTAAAAGATATTCAACAAAATGAAATTTTTTTCTATTTTGTCTTTTTTAAAACCTAATTTATATTTTACAGTGGGGTTCCAGTGTGTTTCTGTGTTATAAGAAGTCTGTACCTGCTTCTAATTCAATAGCGTATAAAGCTGGTGAGTAAATTTTAAAAAATTATCTCTATTACTGTAGTTATTGTTGCCCATTAATATTTGGTTAGGAAAGGCAGTGTATGCTCCCTTATGTAGTTTGTGGAATTGACCTATTCATAAATGGAATTACCTGTAATTTTAGCATGTAAAGGCATAACTTTTCTTAAATACATTACACATTATAAGATATATTAATATTGTCTCCCCCAAAAGTGTTGTTAATTAAATAGAAACTTTCATCTCAAGCAGGCATTTGTGGAATAAACATGCAAGTGTTTAGTCTATACTGATAGATTTAACAGTTCAGTGGAAAAGTGCTTACTCTCTGATCTTTTATATTTTGGCAATCAGAAAGGTGTCAAATTGCATCTTTACTTCTTATATTTCCTTCTCTTATCTCTTTGTGTCTGATTTGAAACCACATGTTACTTGCCATGAAAGGTGGACTTGCTTCCTTTCTCCCTTGTTGCAAAGAATCAGCTATATGGAGGACAGGAGGGCCTGAGAAACTTTTCTGCCATGAAGTGTTTGAGAAATCTATCGCCACATTCTTACTGCACAGTAAAGTGTCAAGGGCTGTAAAGATTTAAGTGTGACCTCTTCATCCCGCTGGTATGGTGGGATAAAAACTGAAAATACAGGTATGCTCCAGTTGTAAATAGAAGAGAAATACTGGAATACTTCTTTGTGAAAATAAGCAGTATCAAATACATTTTGATCATGCACAATATTTTTAAGTTTTACTTAAAAGAAATTAGGCAAATTTATATCTGAAAAATGTTGATTTTCCTCATAAAGACATATTAATGAATTAAACTATAAAGATTACAAATTCAGTATCATTTAAAAATGTGATACTGTTAACATTGCTGTAATGTGTTGATTGTGTGTGATTTTCTTAAAAATATTTTTTTGGTGGGGAGAGAGTGTCACTTTAAAACATCTTACAGAAACAAGCGTGAAAGTATTCAGGTATTTTATATAAGACATGTATTTTAAAATACAGAGTTTTGAAGATTGAATTTGCACTCAAAAATCTGCTACTGATTTTCAAGTGTTTATCTTGGATGTGGTCTGCTAGAGGCTAACGAACTAATGACATGTAGCTACTTGATTATGAAGGGCCTATGTTATGCTTCTCAGAGTACCCCCTCCTATTCCTACTTCCTTGGTCTCACATACTCTGTACTCAGTCACAAAGAGTTTCTATCTCATTTACTTTTCATGTTGCATGCCTTTTATACTGCTTCTCTTCAAGATGAGTTTAGGGACTGTGATAATTTCTGTCTCCTTGGCATTCTTTCATAATACTTGTTCCTTCCCTGAATTTTTTATAGAAGACTAACTGAAATAGTTGGTAAATATTCCTGTGTGTTTCTTACCATTCCTATAAGATGTTGGCAGTACGTAGAAGAAAAAGCATTAAGATTTGTGATCCTATAGAGTTTTAACTAGTATATTTAGTATATTTTATGAACTAAAAGTCCATAGTTCAAAAAGTACAGGGTAAATTTGTTAAATTAGTAAAATTTCTGATATGGCAAGAGAAAAGTTGATTTTGAAATTTCACACAAATATTTCCATGAAGTTTGCTGTTAAAATATCCTAATAATATATCACATATACTTTATGAAAAAGTAGCTATTTAGAAAAATTTATCATTGTTTCCTTTCTCCAAAAGGTTTAATTTTTAGATATCCGGAAGATGATTATGAGTCATTTCCACTCTCAGAATCTGTACCTCTCTTCTGCCTTCCTATGGGAGCTACTATTGAATGTTGGGATCCCCAAACCAAATACCCACTTCCAGTTTTTTCAACTTTTGTCCTGACAGGTTCTTCTGCTGAAAAGGTATAGTTTTTTTCCTCTTTTATTTGGCCTATTTTGTTGATGTTTTAATCCTATTAAATGATTAATATGACCTAATTTAAAAAAATACTTTTATTGATTTTTAGAGAGAGAAAGGGAGAGGGATAGAGAGAGGAAAATATTGATGAGAAACATCATTGATTAGCTGCCTCCTGCATGCCTCCTGGGGATTGAGCTGTAACCTGGACATGTGCCCTGACTGGGAATTGAACCAGTGACCTTTTGGTTCATGGGTTTACACTCAATCACTGAGGCACTCTGGCTGGGCCTAACTTTTATTTGAATGTTAGCATTATTTGGACAAAATACATTTTGGATAAATTTGTACTGCAGTAAAAGGTGAAAGGTCAACATGAAAATTGGTATCAGGATGTCGATACCCCTGAAGCTTCTACAGAAAGTAATATAAAGTCTTTCTGGAGAGACACCCCAAAAACTCAGGCCTTAAGATGAGATTATAGCCCAGCAGGTGTGGCTCAGTGGTTGAGTGCGGACATATGAACCAGGAGGTCACTGTTGGATTCCCAATTAGGACATAAGCCTGGTTGCTGACCCAATCTCTAGTAGGAGGCGTGCAGGAGGCAGCTGATCAATGATTTTCTCTCATCATTGATGTTTCTGTCTCTCTCCCTTTTCCTTTTTCCCTGAAATCAATAAAAAAGATATTTTTAAAAACATAAATAAAATAAAATGAGACTATAATAAAAGCTAGAAGATGTAGGAAGAATCAATAAGACTCGTAATACAAAGCTGGATTAGACCTTTTAAGATATTGAAATGAAAGAATAACAATATGAAGGATATTATAGATTGAATATATAATTGAAATGATTCAAGACCCCTAAAAGAGGGGCTCAAAGCATCAACAAAAGATCAGGATATTTTGAAAACTGAACAGACAGATTAGGAAAGAATCAAATGTGTAGGAATAAAAAATATGTTCTTAAAATTGAATTCAATGAGTAGTTTAAACAAAAGAGAAGACATACATGGAAGGAGAATTAATGAAGTGGAAGATATGTTACTTCAAATGTAGTACAGAAAAACATAAAGCATAAAAGAAGTTTAAGTATGTACAGGATAGAATCAGAACAACCAATAGACATTTAATGACGTCTAGAAGGAGATATCAGAAAAGGGAGAGGCAGCATGTAAAGAGCTAGTGGTTGGTTGAGAGTTTTCCAGGCTTGATGAACAATTGAGTCCAGACTCACGATATGCTCGGAACCTTCAGTAGAAAAAAAGTAAAAATAAAAAACTACCTCTATTCGTATAGGGAACATCAGAACACAAATCAACAGAAAGAAGAGACATTTACTTTCAAAGGAACAACTATTAAATTGGCTAATTTCTTAACAACAAGGATCCGAAGAAAAATAATATATTAAAATGGAGGGAGTAAGCAAAGATAGTTTAAAAGCATGCAGAAAGCACTAGCCATAAGAGAGAAGATGAATAATAAACCTCACTGGAGTTAAGAATATTTATTCATTCAAAGATATCAGTAAGAAAGTGAAAAAGCAGGCCCAAGCTGAGAGAAAATAATGCGATATATGTTTTCAGAATGGGTCTTATATCAAGTAAATGTAGAACTTCTACATTATCAGCAAGGAAAAGAAGCAACCCTGTGGCCCAGCTATTACACTCCTGAGCATATCCCAAGAGATGTGAATGTATACATTTTCCAAAAACAAGTACATGCTTTATTTGTAATAGTAAAAAATTGAAAAGATCTATAAACAGTAATAATGACATAGAATGATAATCCTATCTAATAATAGAGAAACATGGTAATTAACCGTAACTTCGCTACCCATCCCATTGGCTAATCAGCGAGATATGCAAATTAACTGCCAACCAAGATGGCGGCCGGCAGCCAGGCAGCTGAAGCGAACAGGAGGCTTGCTTGCTCCAGTGACAGAGGAAGCCAAGGTTCCCCGCCTGCCGCAGCCCAGCTCTGAGCTCCAGAAGGAACAATGTTGCAATTATAGAAGCTAAACAAACCCAGAAACCTGCTTTCAGCCGTCCGTGGGCTCAGAGTTTAGAGCGCCAGTGATGGCAACAGAGCTTCAATTATAGAAGCTAAATAAACCCAGATACCTGCTTTTAGCCAGCCATGGCCTCAGAGCTGGAGCCGGCTCTCAGCACCAGTGACAGCTATAGAAGGTAAATAAATCCCAGAATTAAAAAAAGAAGAAAGAAAAGAGGCTGGGAGCTTCAGTCGCTCGCCAGCCTGAAAACAGCCCTCAGCCCCTCACCCAGGCTGGCCAGGCACCCCAGTGGGGACCCCCACCCTGAAGGGGGTGTGACCAGCTGCAAACAGCCATCATCCCGTCATCCAGGCTGGTCAGGCACCCAAGCGGGACCCTCACCCTGATCCGGATCACCCTTCAGGGCAAACCAGCTGGCCCCCACCCGTGCACCAGGCCTCTATCCCATATAGTAAAAGGGTAATATGCAAACTGACCCTAACAGCAGAAAGACTGGGAATGACTGGTCACTATGACACACACTGACCACGAGGGGGCAGATGCTCAATGCAGGAGCTGCCCTCTGGTGGTCAGTTGCTCTCACAGCGGGGAGCTCTGCTCAGCCACAACCCAGGCTGATGGCTGCCAGTACAGCGGTGGTGGTGGGAGCCTCTCCTGCCCCCTCAGCAGCGCTAAGGATGTCCGACTGAAGCTTAAGTCTGCTCCCTGCTGGCAAGTGGGCATCCCCCGAGGGCTGCTGGGCTGCCAGAGGGATGTCTGATTGCCAGCTTAGGCCCAATCCCCTGGGGAGCAGGCCTAAGCCTGCAAGTGGTCACCCCCGAGGGGTCCTAGACTGCGAGAGGGCACAGGCCGGGCTGAGGGATCCCCCTACCCCCGAGTGCACAAATTTTTGTGCACCGGGCCTCTAGTTTAAAATAAAAAAGGTGTCCAGAATAAATATTATTTTGAAAATAAAACTGCAGATGTAGTAGAAATTTAAAAATTTCTTAGGAAATTTGATAAAATAGGCAATTTTATTGAAAACTAGTAGCCCGGTGCACGAAATTCGTGCACTGGAGTGGAGGTGGGGAAGGGCCCCTCAGTCTGGCCTTCACCCTCTCCAATCTGAGACCCCTCAGGGAATGTCCAACTACCTGTTTGTGCCCACACTTTTAACAGATAACAGCTCCATTGTTGTTTCTTTCTTATGCTTAAAACCATTGGAATTAGTAGGTATTCAAAGTGTGTATACATTTTGCGGGGACAGCCTGTATATCTCTAGTCAGTGGTGAAAGAAACCAACAGCAGATTTGGAACCCCCAGACAGGGAACCTCGCTCACTCCCCACATGACTCCCCACTTCACTTTCCACCTTCGTGGGCAGCAGGAGAATCAACATTTTCTCTCAATTCGGAAAAGCACGTCCCGTCACCCGCTGCCCGGCAGGAGTGCGCTAGGCCCCAAGCAAGCAAGGCTCAGTCAGGGCAGCCTTCGTTCGCGGGTGCTGGCACCCAAAGTGCACATTCCTCCTCTACAGTCGCCCCGACTATCCCACTGTTTCACTGAGAGGACAGTATTCCTCTCAGCCTCTGGGTTCTTGATCTTGAACGCTGACCGAAGGCACCTCAGCGAGGGCCGCCCGTGCCCACCAGGTGTGTCTGTCTGCACCTGCTCCTGCCTCAGCACCTGCATTAACCCCCTAGAGGTGATCTCATAGCTGCACTGGCCTCCATGGGAAGAGGGCATCACCACTCCGCCCTCTCACTGTCATCTCACAGGCGCCCACCCTCAGCACCCAGAACACCCAGACACTCTCCAAAGGACGTGAGCGCATCAGAGGGGATGTGTGCACATCCTGTGGGGGTGTTAGGCATGCTGGGTTGATGGAAGTGCAGTGGAGAAGCGGGGGGAACTTGTGCACGCCTTGGTTTGCAACTGTTGCAGGCGTGGGAGGATGACAATGTGCTGGGGGATGTTCGCACGCCAGGGGTGGATGTGCACACCAGAGGCCTCTGGCTTTGCAGATCTGCAAACCTCCGTGGTGCAGCCAGGAGGATGTCAGTCTAGCCCGCCATGGTGGCTGTCCCTGTGATCCTGCACCTCCTGGGCCAGGAGGTGGATCTTGCGCAGCCACTCCTGGGCGCTGATGGCCTGCAGGCGCTACTTCAGCTCAGCCTGAAGGCTTCGCTTGGCACGCTCACAGCTGTCACCACCACCATGTGGGGAGTACGGGCCACCCTCTGCCGGCCTGCCTCCCCTGTCCAGAGGCTCTCTGTGCTGCTCACCTGCCCAGAGTGACTGGGGCTGGGCGGAAGCCAGGCGTCCTGCCCTGCCCAAACCGGCTATTCCGCCCCTGTGAGAGCTGCCGCCCCGCCGGGAAGGGTCACAGATCCAGGTCCCGGGACCGCGGACAGCCTCAAGTGCTGCTGCCCTGCCCGCCAGATCACGGATCCGGGTCCCAGACCATGGACAGCCTCAAGCACCGCCTCCCGCCCGGCAGGGTCACAGATCCGGTCCCGGACCGCGGACAGCCTCAAGCACTGCCCCCTGCCCGGCAGGGTCACAGATCTGGGTCCCGGACTGCGGACAGCCTTGCCCCTGCCGCCCGCCTTCAGTATGCAAATTAGCCGCCATCTTGTTGCTTCAGGGTGGGGGTCCCCACTGGGGTGCCTGGCCAGCCTGGATGAGGGGATGATGGCTGTTTGTACCTGGTCACACCCCCTTCAGGGTGGGGGTCCCCACTGGGGTGCCTGGCCAGTTTGGGTGAGGGGCTGAGGGCCGATTTCAGGCTGGCGGGCGACTGAAGCTCCCAACCTCTCCTTTTTTTCTTTTTTCTTTTTTTATTCTGGGATTTATTTACCTTCTATGGCTGTCACTGGAGCTGAGAGCCCGCTCCAGCTCTGAGGCTCAGCTCCATCTCTGAGACCTCGGCTGCTGAAAGCAGGTACTGGGTTTGTTTGGATTCTATAATTGAAACACTGTTGCGGTCCTGCTGTCTGAAGCCCAGCTGGCTGAAAGCAGGTTTCTGGAGTTTGTTTAGGTTCTATAATTGCAACATAGTTGCTTAGAGTGCAAGCTGAGAGGCCGGCAGCAGCAGGTGGGGAACCTTGTCTTCCTCCATCACTGGAGCAAGCAAGCCTCCTGTTCACTTCAGCTGCCTGGCTGCTGGCGCCATCTTGGTTGGCAGTTAATTTGCATATCGCCCTTATTAGCCAATGGGAAGGGTGTTGGGGTTATGGTCAATTTGCATGTTTCTCTTTTATTAGATAGGATTATAACTAACCAAAGCTGACTCTTGTGGCTCAAACAAAATACATTGGCAACCTCATTCTACAAGTTTCCAACCTCTGTATTAAAGATAATGGAGGGTTAAAATCAAGTGTAGTATCTGAAATATAGTGAAACACTCACTGAATGAAGGCCATATATTAACTGTATTGCTTACAACTAAGCTAACTTTTTAACTTAATAATCATTTAACAATTTTGTTATTTGAAAGTAAATAAAAATGAACATTTTAAGATCTCCAAACACTTGAGTTACCAAATTTGACAAGTAGAGAACAACAAAGCCTCATTGAGATGCTTGTTAAAAAACCTCTGAGATCACTTTGAAATAATTGTATCTGCGAGTGTTATATCTATAAAGACAAGAGTTTGGCTCAGTGAATGGAGCATTGACCTGTGGACTCTCGGTCCCAGGTTTGATTCTGGACAAGGGCACATACCCTGGTTGTGGGCTAGATCCCCAGTAGGAGGCATGCAGGAATCTCTCTCATCATTGGTGTTTCTCTCTCCCTCTCCCTTTGTCTCTGAAATCAATAATATATTTTTTAAAAAAGGACAAGGGTTAATATGATATATATTACTAAGTAGTCATACAATTTATGTAAGTATTACTCTCTAGTTTGAGAACTTTTTCATCACCCTAAACAGAAGCTTTCCTCACCTCACCCCAAATCCCTGGTAACCTCTATTCTACTTTTTGTCTCTATGAATTTGCTTGTTCAATTAGCTCATATACATGGAATAATATAATATTTTGTGTCTGGCTCATTTCACTTAGCATTGTATTTTCAGGGTTCATCTATGTTGCTGTAGCTATCAGAATTTTATTTATTTTTAAGGGCGAATAACATTCCATCACATGTATATAACTATATTTTGTTTATCCATTCATCTGTTGGTGGATATTTGGGTTGTTTCCACCTTTTGGCTTTTGTGAATATTGTTCTATGAACATTGGTGTACAAATATCTGTTTGAGTTCCTCTTTTGAATTCTTTTGGGTATACAGGTTTCCCCTACTCTCCAAAAGTAGAGCATTCCTATGAAATCTTTTGCAAGTGATGTAAAGTGAAGAAACAATTACCATTAATTTATATAGAAAAAACTTTGAGCATTCCCAAATCCCCAAAATAACCTATCAAACCATACCAAATAACACATAAAACCTAAAGCAACACTAACATATAGTAAAAGCAGGATGACATGATAAATACACACCATGCTTTGTACACCCATCAATCCACTCAAATAATAGACTTTCCATTGTATCCATTAACTGGATGCCAACTAAAGAAGACCACTTTGCTTCTAACAGAACCAATAGTAACTTTGGCAGCTTTCAAATTTCTTTCTCTCTTTGTGTAAATAGTACAAATGGACTAGGCAAGTTCAACACACGTAGGATGTCTTTAGTTCACGATCAAAACGCTTAATCATGCCATTTTATGCTAAGCATAATACCCTTATGAGCTCTCTTAGGCTGATACCTTAGGACACATCTTGCAAACAGAAGCACAAATAAGTCAAAATAAAGCACAGATACAGTTCAAAGTGTGGGGGCTTGATGTGGAGATGATGAGTGTGGTTCCCCAGGAAGGAGCTTGGTGATACTACTCTCACTGCTGGGGTGCATACTGCTTCTATATTGCTGGCTGCCAAACAAATGCTGAATGCTATTTTTTTTCCTGAATGCTGTTTTTGCTTTTTGCCTTCTTTCATAAAAGTGAAAATCCTCTTTGTATTAATTCTGTTAGTGTAAACAGGTGCTAATATAGGTCTTTTATAAAAGGGAAGTGGCATAATGTGAACTTTCAAAAAGCAGGGAATACTTGTATACCTAAGAGTGGAATTGCTGTGTCATCCGGTTATTCTTTTTTGTTTGTTTTTTTCTTGGTTATTTTTTATTTAACTTTTGGAGGCACTGCCAAACTGTTTTCAGCAGCAGCCACACCATTTTATATTCCCATCAGCAATGTCAAGATATTTCTTTTCATTTATCTGTCATGCATTCTAAGCAAATATTTCTGTGGAATAAGAGAAAAAGAGAAATTAATTTTTAACAACCCTGAAATCTTATAATGGAATTCTGTTGCTCTGTAGGTATATGGAGCTGCCATCCAGTTTTATGAGCCTTACTCTTGGGAACTTCTAACAGAGAAACAGCTTATGCAGCTGGGCCTATTGACACCTGTGGAGAGAAAAATGGTCTCCAAATCCATCAATTCAAACAAATGCATTTGTTTACTCTCACACTGGCCTTTTTTTGAAGCTTTTAGAAAATTTCTCATGTTTATCTACAAACTTTCTGTGTCTGGACCACATCCTCTTCCCATTGAAAAGTATGTATAATGACGAAAGAGATGTCTGCGGGAAAAACTGTGTGTGTGTGTGTGTGTGTGTGTGTGTGTGTGTGTGTGTGTGTGTGTGTAGATATATATTTATTTCATTCTTTACCTGACTTTAAGCAGCAAAGTTGGAAGGGGAGTCACAGTCACCCTACTTTTTACTTGCTCCCTTTTTATTTGAGTCATTGACTGAATTTAAAATTGAGGAGTGGTGGGTGAGGATGACCAAATTTTCTTTTGAGACTTCAGCTGAGGAAGAAACTTACATACATTGTACTGTGTGTTCTTCCTATTCATTTTCTAATAACCAAGAGAAAAGTAGCTGTTGATATACACATATATACAGTCATACCAGTGGCCATTCCAAAGTCTAACTGTAAAACATCTCTAAGCTTATTTAGAAATTTATGTTAAAAGTGAGGTTTCGGTTTTAGTGTTGGCAGAATTCTACATGTTTTCCCTTTTATTTAGAATTCCCTTTGTCATAGAAATCTTTTGTGAGTAAGAAAGATATACGTGGAGCCTCTGTCTTTTGAAAGCCATGTCTTTTCTGACTTCTAGTGGCACATTGACCTTTGTTTATTATAGTAAATAATTTATGTATCCTACTAACAAACCAAGAGGTGTCAAGAGCTTGGTGGAAATCTATTATATATACTCGTAGACATAGATTTTTGTTACAATTTGAAAATTTTTCCATTATAGCAGATAGAGTACCATCAAAATGTACTAGTTTAGTGGATAAGTTGGGAGTAAAGTACTGTGCATAAACTTATCACACCTTGGTATAGAAATATGGTTTCAACTTTCAGATTGTACTCGTGGAATGACAATCTAATGATTCATAATTCTAGATTTAACTTTCAACCTTCAGATTATCTTAAAATAGTTTGAATGAAAATTTAATGTGAGTGAAAATATAGCAGTCTTTTGAAAAATTAAGTTTTCATAAATAGTTTTTGAAAATAAAATCCATGTAGTGATGTTTTATCAGTTGAAGTAATACTTTGCATTTTAGTGGCCTCTAAGATCTTAAAACTTTGGGGAAATGTAACAAGCATTATTTTTAGGTGGGAAAACAGAGAGGGTAAGTGGTTTGCCCCAAGTTATAGTAAAATAGTTATATTACATTTACATTTAATTAATATTTAATTATTAGGATTAAATTTTATATTATTTTTAATTTTTTATATCAGTTAGTTGATTCCCATATTGGCACTGATAATCAGGGAAATATAAATTTGCTTCTTTCATGAAAATCATATTCATGTTACTCTTATTTTTCTGGCAATAATAGAGGATAATGTGGACTTTAAATTAAGAAATACATTGTGCATTTCAGAAGTAGTAGGATGAGTACATTTATTTACACTAAATTTATTTGGTTAGGATAAGTTTTAGGTAAGCGGCTTTGTCATATTTGGGAAGATAATATAATGATATTTAAGATTTAAAAAAAATCTATGAAGCATTTTAGCAAAGTAATTATGACTTTTATTTCCATTTTTTTTCCAGGCACATTTCACATTTTATGCAAAATATTCCCTTTCCTTCACCACAAAGACCAAGAATCCTTGTACAGGTAATCAAAAAAGTATATTTGAGGGGAGCCCTGGATATGTTCATTATCGGCATTGCAGAGTGGGGGTTCTGTGGCTCTTTGGGTTTGAGTTGGAGTAGTATGCATTCATAAAGTCTTTGAATTTCCAGTATTTTATATCTTTACTAAACATCCTTTGTACTGTTTTTTTTTTAATTTTGGGTGTACAGAATTGGAATAATTTTAATTACTGATTCATGACATTATCAACGTTGGTTCATGTATAGACTTGATATAGCTGATTTTCATAACTTAAAACCCAGAATTATGGGCATGTTTTTAATATGGGAGTGACTGATATTAAATATGAAATGAGTTAAGGTTGGAAAGTAAAAGTGAAATAGTCTATAATAGTGCTCTTCAAACTATCTATGTTAAAGGACTATGTTTTTTTAAATTTCCAATCTGTGGCAGACCTACATAAGTATACAGCTTGTGACATATGGAACTTCCTATGTAAGATCTGTATAGATATGAACAAGTCTATATCCCATTCAAAGACATAAGTTCACTGATCGTGATATTGGATGTGTGGGCAGTGTCAGATTGCCATGAAAATTTCTTAATGGCTTGCTCTCCATTTATATATTATCTCTTCCTGGACCCATAACGGTTTGCAAATTGGCACTTTGAGTAGCACTGATCTATAGAAGCAAGCAATTAAAAAAGTTTTTCTAAGATGTTATCAATATTATATGTGATATGATAGCATTAAGTCAAATATTAATCTTGAATGTACTTGTATTAATAAGTTTTAAGTAACTTCCAACTGCTTACCAGCATGTAAATTTGAGGCTTTTAAAAAGCAATTATTTCATAATTTTAAGGTAATTACATTTTCACTAATTAACTGAATCAAAATTCAATTGAATTAACAATTTGGTTAAAAAGAACTACTACAGTACTTCTGAGTAAATACAGCTATTGTTTTATATCTTAGTACATGTTTCCAAAACTGTTGTTTTAGTCTGCACAGGAAAGTGTTTTCCATTTTATCCATGATCTAAATGTTTAGGTTTCAAAATTGGCTTGGTTAATTTATTTATCGTTTTTTTTTTTTAAGCTATCAGTCCATGATGCGCTAATATTATCGCAGCCAGTTTCCACACCTTTACCATTAAGGTAACTAATGCTATCTAAAAGAATATATTTGTTCATTTGGAGCAGAATGCTTTAAAACGTTTTAAGGGTTAGGATAAGAGTGCTATTTTTTCAAACTATGTAAGGATAGCTGTAATGTTTCTAACTTTGAAAGCTTGATGAATGGTGGGGCCATTTAAAAAATAGAATACTTAAGAGAGTTGCAAGATTAGATGTAAGGAATACCTTCCTTTTCTTCTCATCTCCCCTCCCCATATTCAGTTCATAACTGCATGTTCAGGGTGAACTGATTGTAACCTCCTGAAATGTCTTAAATCTATTAGCTTCTCTTCATCTGCATCACTTGTCTAGGCTAGCATGATCTTTCACCTGGACCACTTAAGTACCTATTAATTGATTGTTTTTCCCCCCCTTTAATTCTTTATTCATACTGCGGCCACTGTATTCTTTTGTGAATGCAAACATAATTGTGTTATTTTTATTTTGGCATAATCTCTTGCTATTTTCATCCCTTCCCTTACTATGTTTTAGTGACAATAGATTTATTTCAATTTCTTGAATCTGACAAACCTTTGTATATGTTCTTCCCTCCCAACCCCCAAACCCCTATCTCCATTCTTTTGAGTCTGTTCATATGGTTCATCTTCAGGAATATATTTCCTGATAAATACCCCTTTGTTACCAAGGGATGAATTTGAATCATTCTGTTAAACTGTTTCATTAGATTTGCTACTTTTCAGTGATAACTAAATCAGAATTTGAAGTTAACACTAGATTCTAACTCTATTAATATATAGGAAATAATTTAATAAGCATATCTTAACATGTTTTAGCAAAATAGTTCATAATCATCACTTTTTCTCTCTTTTTCTAGTGGAGCCAACTTTAGCACCTTGTTAATGAATCTGGGTCCTGAGAATTGTGCAACATTGCTGCTCTTTGTTTTACTTGAGAGTAAGATTCTGCTGCATTCTCTGAGGCCAGCTGTGTTGACTGGAGTAGCTGAAGCTGTTGTAGCTGTAAGTATAGTATTTTTCCTTTTAGCACAGAATTATTGACAGAATTTTTACTCTGAAGATAAAGTTTCTTTAATGAAAGCAACTTTGGAATTACCAGTATAAGTCTAACATAAAATAATAGTTTGGCAAAGAGAAATTTTCTCTATTTGAGAGAAACTTTCAAATTCTAATTGTTCACATGCTAGAGTTTTTCAGAGAATCTATGTGGTTATATAATAATAAAACTTGTGAATGAAACTTACTATATTAAATGAGAGGCTCTGGCCAATTTCAGCTGATCTAATATTAATGGAAATAAATTACACAGTTACCTTCTCCCAATTTAAAAAAAAAAACTTTATTGTTTAAAGTATTACATGTCTCCTTTTTCCCCCATTGACCTCTCCCTGGCCACTCCCAGCTCCCCAACACATGCCCTCACCCCCTGGTGTCTGTGCCCATTGGTTATGCTTATATGCATGCATATAAGTAAGTCATTTGGTTGGTCTCTTAACATGCACACACACACACCCCCCCCGGCCCCCCGCCCCCCTGCCTTTCCTCTGAGGTTTGATGGTCTGTTCAATGCTTCTCTGTCTCTGGATCTATTTTTGTTCATTGGCTTACGTTGTTCAATTTTCTTCCAATTTTAACTTTTAATCTTTGTGAGCCATTAACATGTAGAAAATTCTAAGTGATTTTGAAATAGGATAATGTACAAATGCTTGGTAGCATAGAGCAAGCACTGAATTAATACTTGTTAAATCAACAAATGGAATATGTCTCCAAGATCTTAATCTGGTCTGAGAAATGCTTCAAGGACTGAAAACAACGATCTATGGGAAGCAAATAACTTCATTATGTACATACTAGAAGCCCATTGCAGGAAGATTCCTGCAAGAATAGGGCTTTGCTCCCGTCTCTGCCGCTGCTACCCCGCCCATCTCTGCCGCTTCTCTCCCGCCAGTCTCTGATGCTTCTCTCCCGCCCGTCTCTGCTGTCTCTGCTACCTCGGCTCCGTTGCTTGGCTTCCTTCTACGGTGTCTTCAGTTTTCGCTCCCAGCTGGTATATGCAAATTAGCTGCCATCTTTGTTGGCAGTAATTTGTATATCACACTGATTAGCCAATGGGAGGCTCAGTGAAGGTATGGTCAATTACCATGTTTGTCTATTATTACATAGGATTAATGTTCAAGTTTCCACCGTTGCATGTGAAAGTAAAAGTCATTATAACATGAAAATATTTGTTTATGAACTGACCAATTTTAGCAAGTTCCCACTCAAATATTCCTTCCTATAAAACATCCATGCCCCTTTGTCAGAATCTTTGTGGCCCAGTCTCTTGATTAATTTCAGCAGTGTAGTTCAAGAACAGGTGGAAAATTGCAACATAAAATTAGAAATTTTATGAAAAATGCAAGATTGCATGGAATTTATGTCACTAATGTTGGAGAGCTCCCTGAATTGCATGCAGTACCACTGGTAAATGAGGATTTAGCAGTTAAGCAATTTGAAGAAGAGAAAATAGAAAAGAATGGTGACAGGATAAATTCTTCAAAAGGAGAATGATTTGAATATCAAAGAATATAAAATAATCAATGGAGCTCTGTAGCAGAAATTAATGAAACAAATGAGTATTTTTATAACAGTGACCCTGTTTAAGGTTGCGCTGCATAAGTCAAAGGTGAAGACAAGGGTGTCATATTTTGCTGTCAGATAGCTTTATACCAAAATTTCTTATGTAGTTACAGGTGAACAGAAGACAGTTTTCACTGAAGGAACTCTGAAGTCCTTACAAGTTTTCTGTGCTAGTGGCTCTATCTCTGTGTCCTCTGATCTCATTTTCTAATACTCTCCCCCTTGATTACTCTGTTCCAACCACACTGGACTCCTTGCTACCCCTGAAGCATATTCGGCAGGCCCCATACCTTAAAGCCTTAAAGCTGTTCTTTCTCTTTGAAGCCCCCTTCTGGATATCCCTGTGGCTAAATCCCTCCTTCACGTTTTTCAGGTTTCTGTTCAGTTGTCACTTTCTTAAGGAGGCTTACCCTGTTTGCCCTATTTAATAATACAACTCGTTTCCTTTTCTTCTCTTCTGAACTCTAATCCTCTTCACTTGACTTTTCATTTTTCTGTAGCACTTAGCAATTCCGACATGGTCTGTATTTCATTTATTATGTCTTCTGTTTATTTTCTGTCTCTTCCTGCTAGATCAGGAGTTGGCAAGCTCTGGTCCAGGAATCAAATCCTGCCTGCCACCTGATTTTGTAAAATTTTACTGGGACATAGGCCATTTATTTACATATTACCTATGACTGTTTTCACGCATGAAGTCAGTTAAGTATTGTGACAAACAATATGGCTTACAAGTCCTACATTTCCTATCTTTTACAGAAAAAGTTTGCTAACTCTTATGCTAAACTGTATACCTCATGAGGGCAGGGATCTTTGTTTTATTCACTGTTATGCTCCATCATCTAGAACAGTGCTTGGCACTTATTAAATACTCAGATATTTGGTGAGTAAATAAATGAAGATAAAATCCCATCCTATCTAATAAAAGAGTAATATGCAAATTGACCATCACTCCAACACATATGATGACCACCCCCATGTGGACATAAGATGGCTGGCAGGGGAGGACAGTTGGGGGTGACCAGGCCAGCAAGGGAGGGCAGTTTGGGGCAATCGGGCCGGCAGGGGAGCAGTTAGTCATCGATCAGGCCGGCAGGAGAGTGATTAGGGGGTGATCAGGCTGGCAGGCAGAAGCAGTTAGGGGCAATCAGGCAGGCAGGCGAGCGGTTGGGAGCCAGCAGTCCTGGATTGTGAGAGGGATGTCCAACTGCTCGTTTAGGCCCAATCCTGGACATCCTTCGAGGGTTCCCAGATTGGAGAGGGTGCAGTCTGGGCTGAAGGACACACACACACACACACACACGCGCGCGCGCGCACACCTCCCACCGCCGTGCACGAGTTTCATGCACTGGGCCTCTAGTTTTGAATAACCACCTGGGATAACTGGCAGAGATAGTAAATGCTAAGGGCATTTCTTTGGAGTGAGGGATGATGGATATGATAGGAATTGAACTAGACCTTGAAAGACAGCAAGAATTTTTATAGTAGAGGAAAAATTTTATCATCAGTAATTAAAAATTTAATATTAGCTGATCATTAAAATTTTGATCTGGATTTTTAATTAACCTTATCTTTTAAAAAAACACATAAGCGTATGTGATACAATTAAGGTAGAGCTTTGTAAAGCAAACCTGGTAAAGATTCTTAAGGTATGTTTTATTTTATTTACTTATTTATTGTTGACACTGTTACAGATATCCTCCATTCTCCCCTCTTTAGCCTCTTCTACCCAGCCCTTACCCCATCCACCACTCTGGCCATCACCACAGTTGTCTGTCTGTGTCCATGGACCATGCATATATGTTCTTTTGCTAATCTCTTCACCTTTATTTTTATGATGTCAAGCTTCACTGAAGTTGGATAATTTTGTTATTTGAGTGGTTAGGAAATTTTTTTTGTTGAAATTTTCAATTGAGTATTACCATTCCCAAGGGAATCATTTTAATTTTTTTTTTTTGATTCCTTGGTGCTTTTAGTTGGATTTAGTCAAAGGTTATCTTGAGACTTAATATATAGATGAAATGCATGAGATTTAAAGATCATGAGTTTGTTTTATAATTTTTTAGGCAATACTATACTTTGACTTTTTCTGTAAAACTGAATGTGGGTTTTATATAGACATTAGAAGGACTAACATCCAAAGAGCTGTTAGCATTTTTATTGTGCTTGTGATCATTGTCATGCTTAAAGGCTTTAATTACATTGGCTCATTGTATTGTTTAATAATATTTTATAGTCATTTAGTTTTTGAAATGATGTTTATAGTAAAAGAAACTAGACTTAACTGCTTCTTAGTGGTCCCTTTCATTAATATTAGTTAATTACATAATTTTATTGCAAATTTCTAATTTGGCTAATTTTTAAAAACTTTTTCCCCAGATGATCTTTCCATTTCAGTGGCAATGCCCATATATTCCCCTTTGTCCTCTCTCACTGGCGGCAGTGCTTAATGCACCTGTACCATTTATAGTTGGAGTTGACTCAAGGTATTTTGATCTGCATGACCCACCACAAGATGTTGTTTGCATTGACTTGGATACAAACATGTTATATATGTAAGTTGATTCTTTTTATGTTATCTCCCATTTATATTTTTCCTCATATTTAGATATAGCTCATTGACAGCATCTAGAAATATGCTATTTTTAAAAGTTGTTAATAAGTCTTCATCAGCCCTAGCCAGTTTGGCTCAGTGGATAGAGCATTGGGCTGCGGACTGAAGGGTCCCAAGATCGATTCCAGTCAAGGGCACATGCCTGGGTTGTGGGTTCGGTCCAGTGTGCAGGAAGCAGCCAATCAGTGATTCCTTCTCATCATTGATGTTTCTGTTTCTCTCTTCCTCTCCCTTCCTCTCTGAAATCAATAAAAATATATTTTTAAAAAGTCTTCATCAGTGAGTCACAACCAGAACAAAGTATCAGAATCCTGGAAAGCTCTATGGTTTTGAAAAGAACATCTCTACATTATAGTAGTTTATATTTGCATAGTAATGTTAATGGCAGGCAGTAAATATTTATGTTTATCAAAAGAGAATAAGGATTTTTTTTTATATATATATTTTAAGGATTTTTTTTTAAAGGTTAAACACTGCTTTCACAGCTGAAGAGTTATATACTTTCTAGGTTTAATTCAGAATCCATGTGTAAGCTTTTAAGGAATGGGTTTACCTGTTTCAGTTTAGTTACAATATAGGGTAATATGTCATTTCCTTAGTTGTCAAGATTTAAATTTTATAAGGGTGTATTTTTTAAAAATATGTTATTATTGCCCTAACCGGTTTGGCTCAGTGGATAGAGCGTCGGCTTGTGGACTGAAGGGCTCCAGGCTCAATTCTGGTCAAGGGCATGTACCCTGGTTGCGGGCACATCCCCAGTAGGGGGTGTGCAGGAGGCAGCTGATCGATGTTTCTCTCTCATTGATGTTTTTAACTCTCTATTCCTATCTCTTCCTCTCTGTAAAAAATTAATAAAATATATTTTAAAAAATGTTATTATTAGTTTTAGAGAGAGGGGAAGGGAAAGGGATACAGAGATAGTGAGAGGAACAGAGAGATAAAAACATCAATTGGCTGCCTCCTGCAGGCCCCCTACTGGGGATTCAGCCTGCAACCTTGGCATGTTCCCTGACCGGGAATTAAGCGATGCCTTCTTGGTTCATGGATTGACCCTCAACCACTGATCCACACCGGCCAGGCTGTAAGGATGCATTTTGTGCAGAGAAATTGATATTAAAAATCAGTGATAGTTTTCCCTGACTGGGTGACTCAATTGGTTGTTCATCCTATACACCAAACCATTATGGGTTTGATTCTCAGTCAGGGCACATGTAGGTTGCAGGTTCCATCCCTGGTAGGGGCGCATCAGATAGGGGCATGTGTGGGAGGCAACCAATTAATCTTTTTCTCTCTTTCTCTATGTTTCTTTCTCTCCCCCTACCTCTCTCTCTAAAGTCAATAAAGAAACAACAGATCATTGGGTGAGGATTAAAAAAATATATTAGTCATAGTTTGTGTTTACTGGAGGTGATAACTATATACAGTAGTGGTATAACGAGTTCAGAGAGTAGTGTACCACATTAATAAGGGAAGCAGCTCTGATAGATGCCTAAAAGCAAACTGCTCCACACTCCCCCATTCCTTGATGGAAAATGTAGTAAGTATGGAAAATTTCTTCATGTTGGTGCCAACTTCTAGATCTTGGAGTACTTATTCTATACTGTTTGAGATTAGGAGAAAATGAAAAGAGTAAGAACTTTGATGAGACTTCAGTGGTCACAGCAATAGAATTGGTTGGAAAAACATCCCAACGTGAGCCAAAGGAATAACTTAAGGAAAGAAGAAAACATTTGCTGTAACTTTCTTTTTTTTCAATCCTTACTCGAGGATATTTTTTCTATTGATTTTTAGAGAGAGGGAAAGATGAGAAACATTAATGTGAGAGAAACATCTCAATTGGTTGCCTCCTGCACTCACCCTGACCAGGGCCTGGGCCTGGGAGGAACCTGCAACTGAGGTATGTGCCTTTTACTGGAAATGACTTGGGATCCTTTGGTCTGAAGTCTGACGCTCTATCCACTGAGCCAAACCAGCTGGGGCATTTGTTGTAACTTTAAAAATAATTTTGAAGTGGATCTACCATTGTAGTTAGAAACTATAATTGTGGTGGCTCTTCACTAGGTATATGTAAATTTACTTATAGCCTGGAAATAAACTACTTGTATGCACTAAATATTTCTTTTAGCAACATTTTCTTGTTTTTTAGCTGCTATCCCTGAAAAACAGTTATTTCAGGATTGTATACATTGTGATGCTTTTGGAAATGATTATTTATGAAGTTGTATCTCAGATGTTTACTTTTTTTATTTACTCTTTTGAATAACATGGAAATTCTTAATTTTGCCATTTTTAAGTAACTTCTAAAAATGTTTGATTAAAACATTTTCTTTAAATAACTTTAAATTCTTTGCTTAATTGTACTTAAAGAATAATGAGATATTCCAGATACCCAAAAATTATAGAGGATAATGTAAATAACTCCCATGTATCCACCATGCAGTTGGAAAAAATAGAATATTACCAATAAATCTGAAACCCTGTGTACATATCTTGCATCATCTTGAATTTGGTGTTTATTACACTTGCCATTCTTTGTGAGACTCATCCATGTTGATACATGTAGTTCTACTTCAATGTCAGTGTGTATAGTGTTGGTAGATATTTAGATTGTACCTAGATTTTTACAGTTATGAACAAGGCTGCTGTGATCATTATTGTGCATATTTCTTTGAGTTCATGGGCAAGAATTCCTCTGAAGCATATACCTTAAAGAGCCAATGTTGGTTGGTAGGCTTTGTTAATGCCACGTTAATCTTCCAAGTTTACCACCTCTTCAGCAGCAAATGAGAGTTCTGTGTGTTTCATATCTTTGCCAATACTTGTTATGGTCAGAATTAAAAATTTTTGCCAGTTTGATGGTAATGGAATCTCACTGTGGCTTTAATTTACATTTCCTTAATTAGTTGCAAATAGTAGATTTATATTTCTTTTTGCCCTTTGGTTTTCCTGTCCTGTTAATTGGTCCCCCCCACCCCCCCCTCCCTTTTTTGGTAAATTTTCTTGTTTGGTTGTTTGCCTTTTTCTTTGAATTTGTGTAAGTTGGTTGTAGAATTTTGAATTAATTCTTGGTTTGTGCAAGTAGTTCCTCCCACATTGACTTGTCTTTTCATTCTATTTATCGTGTTCTTTTGATGAATAGAAGCTTATTTTAATCAATCAGATTTATTATTTTCTTTCATGGATTGCTGTTTTTGGTTCTTATATATGAAATTCTCTGCTCGAGGTCATGAAATACTATCCTGGATATTCTTAAAGTAGTCGGGTTCTGCCTTTCTCTGTAGGTCTTTAATTCAGCTAAACTTGGTATTAGTGTATGACATGACGTAGAGATACCATTTTATTTATTTATTTATTTATTTATTTATTTATTACATGGACAAGCACTTGTCACATAGCACTATTTATTGAATAGTGAGTTCATCTCTTCCCTACTGGTCTTCAGTGTCAACACTATTACATATCAGTTTCTATATTAGCATGGAATATAGCATGCATGCTTATTATTCTGTTCCTTTGTTTTAGTCTCCTGCTAGTATAACACTATCTTTTTAAATTTTATTTTAATTCTTTATTGTTTAAAGTGTTACATATGTCTCCTTTTTCCTCCATTGATCTCTTCCTGGCCACTCCCACCTCCAGCACATGCCCTCACCCCCCTACTGTCTCTATTCATGGAACACTATCTTAACGACTTCACTAGTAAAATTAAGTTGTGCATAACATGGATAAACCTTGAAAACATCATGGTCCCATTTATATGAACTATCCAAGGCAAATCTATATACATAGAAACTAGGTTCGTTAAGATGGGGGAATCAGAGATTAGTGACTAAGGGGATGCAGGGTTTCTTTTTGAAGTGATGCAAATATTCTAAAATTGATTATGGTGGTGATTACACAACTCTGTGAATATACTAAAAACATCAAATTTTACACTTCAGGAAGATGAATTGTATGGTATGTGAATTATATCTTAACATTGTTTTAAAAAGTTGTGATGTGAGCCTGGCCAGTGTGGTTGCGCATTGACTCATGAAGCAGGAGGTCACAATTTGATTCCCAATCAGGGCACATGCCCAGGTTGCGGGATGATCCCCAGTGTGGGACATGCAGTAGGCAGCCTATCAGTGATCCTCTCTCATCATTGGTGTTTCTATGTCTCCTTTCTTCTTCTCTGAAATCAATAAAAATAGATTTAAAAAAATGAGTTATGATGTGATATAGCAAGTCCCTTTACTCCTGTCCTTTACAATTGTTTTGATATATTTTGTCCTTTCTTTTCCATATAAATTTTAATATCAGTTTGTTAAGTTCCACACAAAATTATGTTGTGATTTTGGTTAGAATTCTATTGAATTTATAGATTAATTTGGGAACGAATGGCATCTTTTTGACATAGTCTCCCTACCTATGCATGTGGCATTTTACTTTATAAGTCTTTTAAAATTGTTCAATAAACTTGCATTTTTCTCAAAGACCATGCACATCTTTTGTTAGACTTACTTATCCTTAAGTAAAACTTATAAAAACTTATAGTTTTTATCGTTACTATAAATGGTATTTTAAATTACATTTTTTACTTGTTAGTTGCTGGATATAGGAATGTTAAACTGATTTTTATATAGTAGGTTTGCTCCCCAGCAACTTAGTTGAATTCTTTTATTTTGTCTGTAGATTCTCTTCAATTTTCTGACTATAAGCAATTACATTATCTACAATTTTTATTTTTAAATTTGTCTTAATTCTCTGGCAAAAATCCTAGTGTAGTTGAATGGTAGAAGGTAAGCATAGCTAGTATCTTGTCTTGTTTCTAATTTCAAAGGGAAAGCTTTAAAGCAAGAATTGACAATCCAGCCCAAGGCCTGTATTTACAAATAAAATTTTAGTGGAACACAGCTCAGCTTGTCCAAGGCTGCTTTCATGCTTTCATGTGGCACATTTCAGTAGTATGACATAGTCATGATGGTCCTCAAAGCATGAAATATTTATTATCTGACCCCAAAGTTTCCTAGCTCTATTCTAGGGTTTTGATTACTTAATAATAAATTAAGGAATTTTCCTTTTACTTCTAGATTAAGAATTTTTAAAAAATCATAGGTAGGTGTTGAATTTTATAGTACTTTTGTGCAACTATTGAGATGAGCATTAAAATCTTCTTTAATCTCTGTATGGTATATTACATTATAAAACCATGTAGTTGTAAACAATTCTTATATTCCTGATATAAACATCATCTTGCTCTTGTTTTTTTATATACTAGTGGATTAACCTTTCTAAGAATTTAAGATGCTTGCATTGATGTTCATAAATGATATTGGCCTGATGTATAGCAATAGGTGCAGCCCGTGGTTTGTACATAGTGCTTTCATCTTTGTAGAGTTTTAAATGTTTCTTATTCTATTAAAATATTTCATTTGACTCATGCACTATTTAAAAGTGTTCTTTTTGGCCCAGCCAGTGTGGCTCAGTGGTTGAGCATTGGCCCAGGAACCAAGAGGTCACTGTTTTGACTCCCAGTCATGGCACATGCCAGGGTTTCAGGCTCTTCCCAATAAGGGGTGTGCAGGAGGCAGCTGGTTGATGTTTCTCTCATAGATGTTTCTATCTCTCCCTCTCTCTCTAAAAACCAATAAAAACATAAAAAGTGTTCTTTTGAACTTTCAAAGTTTTTTTTCTTCAATGCTAACTCAGTTGAATTGTGGTGAGAACATGCTTCTATATGTCACTGATGCTCTAATATTTGTTGAGATTTACTTCTAATAGGTAATTTAAAAATCTCAAGTCAATTAAGTTTGACACTTAACATGATTCTAAAATACTGTTGAAGCAAGAATTTTATGTTGTATTCATAACTCTAGTATTGAAAATCTATGTTGGAGGGTTAGTATGAGATGACCAAATTTGATTCAAGATAATTGAAATGAAAAGAGAAGCTCCTTGAAAACCACTTATCAATTGTAACTTCAGTAAAAATACACTTTCTATATTCCTTTTTAATTTGACATAAGAATTTTAAGTAAAAGCAGATTGAGATGTTTTATTAGTTATATTTTTATTTAATAGATCTGATGAAAAGAAGAACATGAACTGGAAGCAGCTTCCCAAAAAGCCATGCAAAAATTTACTTAGCACCTTGAAGAAATTGTATCCCCAGTTATCTTCAGGTAAATGTGAGGAAAAAGGAATATTTTAATGAAAATTCTTCTTACTTTAAACACAATTTTGCTCTGCTTAAAAGAAGTTTAATTACAAAACAAAATTCCAGTAACAAGAAATTAATATTGTGTTTCATGATTTTTTAAGCATGTTGTCTATGTCTGCTTGAGCATCTCTGTTAGCCTGGGCCAATGATGCCATCGCATTAATGGAGAGAGGCATTTCGGGAAGTCACAGGCTTTATTTTGATAGTTTCCTTAATTGCTCAGTCATTATATATATGTACATATATAATATTATATATTAACTAGAGGCCTGATGCACAAAATTCTTACAGGGGTAGGTCCTCCCAGCCACAGCTGCCTCAGCCCTCACCCAGGCTTCATCTGGAAGATCATACTGAAGGTCATCTGATGGTCATTCCACTGTTCAGCCGTTCGGTCGATTTGCATATTACGCTTTTATTATTATAGATGTCATTTTCTTGTTTTATTTGCTAGTTCACCAAAAAACTCAAGAAGGTTCAGCAATTGAGATGACTCCAATTGAAGCAGATTTCTCCTGGCAAAAAAAGATGACTCAACTTGAGATGGAAATTCAAGAGGCATTTTTGCGCTTTATGGCATCCATTTTAAAAGGATATAGAGCATATCTCAAACCAATAACAGAGGCTCCTTCAAATAAAGCCACAGCTGTTGATTCATTGTTTGACCGACAGGGTGAGTGGCATTGAAAATACAATTACTTTATATAGAAAAGAAAAATACTTTGTATATGGTATTGCTACCAAAAAATATTTACTACCTAAATTTTTAGAAATTAAAATATACTTCTGTGTGTTTGTAGTCTGATGCTATGAATATAATTTCTTTTTGTTTTTACAAATATATTTTTATTGATTTCAGAGAGGAAAGGAGAGGGGGAGAGAGAGAGAAACATCAATGATGAGAAAATCATTAATTGGCTGCCTCCTGCATGCCCCTTACTGGGGATCGAGCCCACAACCCGGGCCTGTGCCCTTGACCGGAATTGAACCTGGGACCATTCAGTCCACAGGCCAACCCTCTATCCACTGAGCCAAACCAACTTGGGCTGAATATAATTTCTTATACCCCATTTTTTTCCTGAGAAATCTGAAGCTGTAGGACTTTAATTATAAAAAGTCAAAGATGTTGCTTGTATTTATAATACTACCTAGTCATTTTAGTAAAATGTAATTTGCTTTAGATGCTTCTTTAGTTTTGCATAATATTTTGATTTATATACTCTTTGCTTTAAAATATTTCCTAACAATTAGTTTTTGGAATAAAGCCACCAGTTTTAAAATTAAAAAAAAAAAAAAAAAATACAGCCTTGTTCCAGGGGGAAACACTATGCTCATCTTTTTTAGTATTTATTATTTTAGGGAGTTATAAAGCTTTTTGTTATTATTCAGCTACTCTTATAATATAATATATAGTAGCAACCTTTCATTTTCATTAATATTTATATAAAAATTATATTACATTTCTATACTTTTATCTAGCAGTTACTTAAAAATAATCTGTATTTTCCTAGCAACCTTTTTGTCTTTTATCATTTCTGTTTCAGAATAACTTCTCTCTCAAATATTTAGCCACTACTTACCAAGCTCAACTAATTATTATGTAGGGATATAAAGAAGAATTAAGTCTAGCTCTATGGGATACTAAATAAGAAACAATCTAAAATGATTTTTTAAAATAGAGCAAGTACTGGAGAACACAGATTTTATACAATTCAGTGAGAAGCTCTAAAAATTAAGAAAAAAGAAACATTCTTTCAAATGAATATTGGAAGATTTTATAAAGGAAGAGCATGACTTTGAAGAACTTAGATAAATGAGATGAGCAGGAAAGGATTTCTAAAAACAATAGGCATTAAAAATTAAATCTGAATTAGAACTTCTTCTTTGCTGCTTATGAAACCTTTCTGGGGTTCTGTTTTTTCATTAATAAGATGGGAATAATACCTAGATTATGCATGGTAGTGAAGATTAAGAAAATATATGTGGAGCAACTAGTAAAAGTACTTTACAATATTCAGTACTCATCATAACAGCTCTTATTGTTAGTGGTAATGGAATGGAAGAAACCTCAACAACAAAAGCACAAGGCATGTGCTTTAGTCCGTCAGGTCTATCATAACATAGTACCGTGGATTGGGTGGCTTAAACAACAGAAATTTCCTCATAATTGTAGAAGCTAGCTAGAAGGTCAGAATCAATGTGTTGGCAGGATTGGTTTCCTCTGAGGTCTCTCTCCTTGGTGTGTCATTGGTTGCCTTTATTGAGCAGGAAAATAGCTAAAAAGAGAGAACCTGATTATTTGTTAAGAAAAGGGTTTTTTTGTTTGTTTTTTTCAATGAGAGAGACTTGAGTATGCTGATAAGTAGCGAGTAGAGAGAGGAAGACTTTTCTGAGAATACTGAAGGGGCTGGAATCCCAGGCTGATGTGGTAGGCTTGGCCTTAGATAGGATTACTGGACATATCCATTGTAAAAAGAAGGAAGGAAGGAATGATAATTGCAGAAAGAGTAATATATTTTGTAGTGAGATAATGAAGGTAGTTCTCATTTAATGATTTTCATTTTTTTGGCAATATAAGGTATGGTCTTTTGAGAATGGGGGAAGGAAACATGGAGGGAGGACATTTGAAAACTGCAAATAGCTGTGAAATAGTGGGTAAAAGGAAATTGCGTTTATTCCAAAAATGTAGTAAAGGTTGTTGGTCAGGGACAAAGGTACAGTATTAGATAAGTGATTCTGATCCACTTAATTGTGGAGCACTTTCCCTCCTTTTAACTTGTGCTCAGCCACTGATGCAGATCCAGAGAAAGCAGACAAATACATTCCTCCAGGGCTAGACTATACTAGATGGATTTGCCAAAAAAGACAAGGGCATAAGAATTGAGAGTGTTGACAAGAAAGTAATTGAAATCAATGGACATGGAATCAGTATTGGATAGATAGAGAAGTGAAGACAGGGAGGGGGTAGGTAGAATGGAAAAAGGGTAAAAGGATTGTAGATTTCAATGAGCTTACCTTCTATCTTCCTCCGCCCCTCTTTCCGGGTCTTCCCCCTGCCCCCCCCCCCCCCCAAACAAAGCCTTTGTAAGAGTACTTAAGTAAGCAAACCAGACAGATGGGGTAATGGTCAGAGAATAACATGCAAATTAAAGATTTGGGAGGCAGAGCTTTTTTTAAAAATTTAAATTCTTTATTGTTTAAAGTATTACATAAGTCTCCTTTTTCCCCCATTGACCTCTCCTCAGCTGCCCCCACTCCCCAGCACATGCCCTCACCGCCCTCATCTATGTCCATTGGTTATGCTTATATGCATCCATACAATTCCTTTGGTTGATCTCTTACCCCCTCAGCTCCCACCTTCCCTCATAGGTTGGATGCTTCTATGCCTCTGGTTTTATTTTTGTTCATCAGTTTATGTTGTTCATTATATTCCACAAATGAATGAGGTCATGTGATATTTATCTTTCTCTGACTGGCTTATTTCGCTTAGCATAATGCTCTCCAGTTCCATCCATGCTGTTGCAAATGGTAAGAATTCCTTCTTTTTTTTTTTTTTTAAGGCAGCTTAGTATTCCATTGTGTAGATGTACCACAGCTTTCTAATCCACTCATCTGCTAATGGGCACTTAGGCTGTTCCCAAATCTTAGCTATGGTAAATTGTGCTGCTATGAACATAGGGGTGCATATATCCTTTCTGATTGGTGTTTTTGTTTTCCCAGTAATCCCATTTCTAGGCAGAGCAATTTTTAATGATAGCAAGAAAAGGCCAGAGTGTGTGTGTGACTTTGTGTACAAGTTGGTGGTAGAGGTGGAATAGATCACAGATCATTGACAGGGTTCAATGGTTTGTGCTTAGTGGGTGTTGAAGAATGATGATGGTAGGTGTTGGAGAGGAGAAGGTCTTCAGTGAATGAAGGAGAGTGTCCCTAAGACAGTAGATATCTACAATTGGTAGGAGAAAGGGTAGAATACCAGATGCTTGAACCTTCAATGAGCAGAAATTTTTACAAGACGATACAGAAATAATTATCTGGTGGCATTTCAGAATAAGGCCATAGACACTTCATGTTTGAGAATATGTAGAATATCAGAAATTTCTACTTGAGAGCTGTAGAACTAGAGCTTTCTTATAAGAGATTTAGATTTCAGTGAAAGTTTAATGGTATAAATTAAGCATTTTTGTAGTTGAATCAGGCAGAAGGAGCTATGGTTACTAGAAGGTTCTGTATATAAATATATATGACATATTTATATGAACAAGTTTAAAATAATGTTTAATATAACATCTAGTTCCACTTTAAAATTTGAACTTAATTGTAATTTTATTTCCTTCAGGATTTCTAAAAAGTCGAGATCGTGCCTATACAAAATTCTACACCTTTTTAACCAAAACACAGATTTTTATTCGTTTCATTGAAGAATGTAGTTTTGTAAGTGATAAAGATACTGGATTGGCATTTTTTGATGACTGCGTAGAAAAGGTAAAAGTTTGTCCTATATAGCAATGTTAAGGAAAAATTTTAACAATTTGGCTAGCTGTGTGTATAATCATCATCATCATTATTATTATTAGCCCAAATGATCTGAAGGAGACAGCATAGGGTGTGTGTGTGTGTGTCTGTCTGTCTGTCTGTGTCTGTGTCTGTCTGTCTGTGGGTGCATGCAGTTACATGTACATGCAAGTGTCTGACTCTGGGCTTAATATAAGTCATTTTCCTGTGTCTAGTTTCTGTCATACGCAGCAAATTTTTCTCTTTGATTCTCACTTTGTAACTATGAAGTACTAAATTGACCCTCCTAAAACTTATATATTTAATTTATATGAATAAAATAAGATTTAGTAATTAATTTACAAAATTTAGTTTTTTTGGATAAATGGAGTCCTGTGTTCTTTTGTTTAATGTCTTTCCAGGTACTTTTGCTACTATATTTCTTTTGTCCTAATGGAGGTTATTTGGAAATATGTTAAGTTTTTAAGCTTTACTCACCCATCCTAAGGAAATTCAAATTGATTCTTCACAATTGATGACTGACTTAGATATATATTTTTTTCATTTTTAATAGAATTCTTATTTTTGCTATGTGGATCTTGGGGCTGATTATTTATGCAAACTATATATTATAGAAAATTTAAGATTATATTCAAAAAAATGTAGAATATTATAAAATTGTATTTTTTATGGACTCCGAATGATTCATATGCCTTAGAAAACTTGATTAACTTTCTCCCATTCTATCACTGTAACCTAAAATTTCAGGGATACAATCAAAATTATTTAACATTTTAGTTTACTTATAAAAGTGATAGTCCAGTATCATCCAGTTAGAGGGATGCTTAGATAATGTCAATCACTAATGCAGGGATTTAATAATAATTAATTTTTTATTTGAGAAGCCAGATTCCTCTTGTGATTAGCTATCTTTTGCTAGTGAAGGATTTATGAAAAAACTAATAAAAATAAATTGTTTTAATAGCCTCAAAAGACGTATTATACTTAGCCTAATATAGAATAGGGTCCCCAAAATTGTGAAGTGTTTTTTATTTGTCCAGTATTAAAAAAGGATAGTTTTTTAAAATAAGAATTTAAGATAATCTCTATTAAATTCACAATAGACATTTTCACTAAGAATTTTTTATTTTTTTCTAGTTGTTTCCTGATAAGAGCACAGAGAAAACAGATAAGGTATTTTTTTAAAGTTTTTGAAAGTTCAAAACTAGGTCTTGCTTATATATAAATTAACTGGAAAAAAATAATTATTTTTCAGATTGATTTTGATTCAACAGATGATACCAAATTGATTGAGCTAGATGATTCACAAAAAAGTGAGCACACTGTATTTATAATGCCACCAGAGCCACCTCCTGATGATGCAAAGGACCTGTCACCAAAGTACAGGTAGCAAGGATTCTTTAAAAGAGCTCTTTGGGCACAGCTTTAATGATTTATTTTTATTATTTCTGATTATTAGTAGATGCATATATTAATCATTTGTGAAGGTCATTTTCAAAATTTATTCAGTGAACTAATGGAGATGAATATTTTATAATGTCGGTGGGTAATGTAAATTAAGACTTGGACAACCTTGTTTGAAAATAAGCCAGATGTTGATCACTAGTCACCTAAAAATTCAACCATATTTTAATCTTTAAAAAATTTACTTACTTTTGTGAGGTTCCGCCTTCCTTTGGGGGTTTTTGTTGTCAATATAAAGACTGTATAATTCTTATTCATTAGTAAGATGTCAGAGTAAGCCTAAAAGTAGAGGGGCAGGAATCATTCTTTATTAAAATAAATGTAAAGAATAGGATTTGGATGGAATCTTTTGAGAAATTAAAATGTATTTGATTGTTATTGTTATAATTGTGATAAGATACAATTTAATAAACTTAGAAAAGCAAACAATAAAAAAGAAAACGAGCACATCATTTTAGCACCAATACTTAGTCTGTTAACAACTGTATGTATATCTTTCTTGTCTTTTAGTGCATAAATTTGCACTTATTATACTTAAGACAAATATGGGTTCATCTTACATATATTCTTTGTAACCTGTGTTTGCCTTTAATGGCCTGAACATGTTTCCATGCCAAAAAATATTTTTTGTGCCATATCATTTTGAATAACCACATTACATGCATTTATTGTGATTTGTTTCACTAGTCTCCTGTGGATTGTTTGTAGTTCTTTGCTGTTTATATCTTTGTGTATATACACAGTTATTTTCTTAGGCTGTTTTCTTAAAATAATGTCAGGAGCAAAGAAAATATAAAATAACTCATAAAACTATGGAATTAACATATAATCTAAGAATGAAGAATATATACCATAGGGATTGAGTGGCTTAATTAAGTACCATTTTGATTGCATATTAACTATAGAATTCTATTTTACTTTGGTTTAATCGCTATGCATTTGGACTCCGGTATTGACAAACAAGATAAATAGAGAAAGGCAACACCTCCCAGAAGAAAATTGGCCAAAGGAGGCAATTTGCAAGAAGAAATCCCAATAGGCAGTAATATGAAAAGATAGTAAGCTTTCTAGTATTCAAAGAAATGCAAACCAAAATGATGAGTAAAAGCATTTTTAATCTATCATATTGAAGATAAGCTTTACTACCAGGTAAAGTGTATGTTAGAGTATATGCAAGTATAGCCTTTCTGGAAATAAATTTGTAGTGATTTATAAGAATTTTTATTCTCTTGATAAATATGGACCATAGCAAACCCTGATATTGGGCATTATCCTAAGAAATTAAGCAAAAGTATTTACAAAGATTTATATATACCAAGATACTTAATTACAAAAATTTAGAAATAACCTAAAATGTCCAGCAGTAAAGAATTGGGTAAATTATTGTATATCCCTAAAATGAAAATATTTTTTAGAATATATTTTATTGATGTTTTACAGAGAGGAAGGGAGAGGGATAGAGTTAGAAACATCGATGAAAGAGAAACATCGATCAGCTGCCTCCTGCACAATCCCTACTGGGGATGTACCCGCAACCAAACTACTTACCCTTGACCGGAATCGAACCTGGGACCTTTCAGTCCGCAGGCCGACGCTCTATCCATTGAGCCAAACCGGTTGCAGCTAAAATGAAAATATTAGGAATTTTTTTCTTTTAGACACCAACGCAAGGTACTTTTATGAAGAAAAACAAAATTACAAATTATGCTAAATATTATTTTTACATATAAATTATTGAACACATTGGTTCTGTTGCAAGGGTAATTCCTCTATCAAGTAAGATATCAGGGTTTTCTGTTTTCCATGGATTGGTTGAGAAAAACAAATAGAGTGGGGAGGAGCCAGAGTTTCTATGTAGGTGGTCTATGTATTTCATAACTACGTCATCTTACATTTTTGAATTACATTTCTGTATAAGGATTTTGGGGAATAATATTGGGTACTATGTAAGGTTTAGAAATAGTCACCTAAATTCTGGAATAATATGAAGCGTATTTTAAATCAGCAGTTCTAATTTTGCTTTTTATTTTAGTTACAAATACTTTCCAAGACTGGACCTTAAACTTTTTGACAGACCACAGGAATTGAAACTTTGTTTTAGTAGACACCCTACTGGGAATAGCATTACAAACAGTCCAGCTCTCATGGCTAAGAGAAGTAAACAGGTCAGATATTCTTTATCTAATACATGCTAATTAAAAATGTAAAATATGTATATGTGATATGCAGCTCATAGTTTAGAGTTATCACCCACAGCAACCATTTGAAGAACTACTGTGGTTGATAATGAACTAAACTAGATTTCTTGCAATCCTACTTACAATGTTGAGGCTGAAGTTTTTGAATGCTTACTAGTATGTTTATGCTTTAAAAGAATTCTTGGGAACCAAATATACTTTTTAAAAAACTTGATGGATATACTAGAGGCCCAGTGCATGACATTCGTGCACTGGGGGGTGGTCCCTCAGCCCAGCGTGCACCCTCTTGCAGTCCAGGAACCTTGGGGGATGTCTGCCTGCTGGGCCTAAGCTGGCAGGCGGACATCCCCCAAGGGGTTCTTAGCACTGCTGTGGAGGTGGGAGAAGCTCCCACCATTGCCGCTACACTCGCCAGCCATGAGCCCAGCTTCTGGCTGAGCGGTGCTCCCCCTGTGGGAGTGCACTGACCACCAGGGGGCAGCTCCTGTGTTGAGCATCTGCCCCTTGGTGGTCAGTGCGCATCATAGCAACCAGTCATTCCGCCGTTCGGTTGATTTGCATATCAGGGTTTTATTATATAGGATAATTCACATACCATACAATTCACCCATTTAAAGTATACTCAGTGGCTTTTAGTATATGCACAGGGTTGTACAACCACACCACAGTCAACTTTAGAACATTTTTGTCACCCTTAAAAGAAATGTCGCACCCTTAGCTGTTAACTTCCAGGTTTTCCCCCCACAGCCTCAGGCAACCCCTAATCTATTTTTTGTCTCTATAGTTTTGTCTATGCTGGACATTTCATATAAATGGAATTGTATAACATGTAGCCTTTTGTGACTGGCTTCTTTCACTTCTACTGTTTTTAAGGTTCATCCATGTTGCATCAAGTGTCAGTACTTCATTTATTTTTATTGCTGAATAATATTCCACTGTGTGGATATATACCACATTTTATTTATCCATTCATGGACATGTGAGTGGTTCCTACTTTTTGGCTATTATGCATAGTGCTGCTATGAACATTTGTGTGTTTTCACTTCTCTTGGGTATATGCCTAGAAGTGGAATTGCTGTGTCATATGGTAAATCTGTTTAACTTTTTGAGGAACTGTCAGACTGTTTTCCACAGTGGCTACACCATTTTTCATTTCCCACCAGCAGTATATGAGAGTTCCAATTTCACTACATCCTTGTCAGTTCTTATTATTATCTGTCTTTTTTATTATAGCATCCTAGTTGGTGTGAAGTGATGTGATTTTGATTTGCGTTTCCCTCATGGTTAATGAAAATGTACTTTATACTGCATACTACGTTCAAAAGGGAGTACGAGTGTATTAACTTAGAACATCTTGCTTTAATACCACATCTGATTTAAGTGTAAAGAGTTAAACTATAGTTAGTTGTGAATTAAAATTAAACATCTTTTATACATATACTGACATTTTGGGAGTCTATAAAACATGGAAAATTTCAAAATGAAATTCTGAGTTCAGGTTTTACCAATCCTATACAATAAAAGGCCAGCAACCATAACGGCGTCATGACCATAATGACCATCGACCAGTTGCTATGAGGTGCATTGACCACCTCTCGGTCCCTCCCCCCCGGGGTGGTGGGTCGGGACTGGGGACTGTTGAGCAGCGGCAGGTGGTGCGCATCCAGCAGCGAGCATTGCGGGGTGGGGAGTGTTGCAGAGCTTCATGGGGCGGGGAGCCTCACGGAGCATTGTGGGGCGTCATGGGGAGTTGCGGGGCAGGGAGCTTTGTGGAGCATCCCGGGGTGGCAGAGGCAAGTATCGTGGAGCTTCGCGGGGCGGTGGAGGCAAGCATTGAGAAGCTTTGCGGCGTGGTGGGTGTCATGGGGCGGTGCAGAGCGGCGGATGTGGCCCTGATCGAAGACTAGGCCTAGGGACCCTACTTGTGCATGATTTCATGCTCTGGGCCTCTAGTTCTTATATAATCCCCCAAATCTGAGATTAACCTGAGGTGTTCCTTAATTTCATATAGTACACATTTCTCTCAATGTTGTCTGAAGGGAATTTTTTTTTACCCTAACAGCTTACTAAAGGCAAGTTTTTAAAATGGGAAAATTTTGTTACTAAGTGTTTTTCCCCCCTGTTTTTGTTTTTTTATTTTCTTTGTTTTGTTACTAAATCTTTAAATCTCATCTTCATCATCTTTTTCTTTTTTCCAGGCTAGCTGGAAGGAACTGTATTTTCAAATACGTCTTCAAGTCTTGTACAAATAAAGATCATGAGAAAAATAATACACCAGGATATTTTTTTTTAGAACACATCCCAGTAGAGGGATCTTTAGTGCAAGGCACACTAGAGCAGTTTAATTTATCTGGAAGGCTCTATAGTATCTAGCGTTAAAGCTCAGCAGGTGATATATATGTATTTTTTTATTAATTTCAGAGAGGAAAGGAGAGGGAAAGAGAGATAGAAACATCAGTGATGAGAGAGAATCATTGATCGGCTGCCTCCTGCACGCCCCCCACCGGGGATCGAGCCGCAACCCAGTCATGTGCCCTTGACCAGAATCAAACCCAGGACCCCTCAGTCCACAGGCCAACACTCTATCCACTGAGCCAAACCAGCTAGGGCTCAGTTGTGATTTTGATACCTATTCTCTCTTCCATTCAAATCAGAATGAAAATCAGAGGTTGAAAACATGACTACTGAACAGTTAGGTAGGAAGGTCAATGATCTTTCTCAGACTATGTTGACTTCAAAGGAGTAGGGCTTTTTATGTAATCGCTCAGTGAAGGAATTAACACAGACTGTAGTGAGGGAGGTTAAAGCGGAAATCTTGGCAGGAAATAGGGCATTTTCACTTTTTAGCAGGGAGAAGAGTGAGAAGACTAAGTTTTCAAAAATGACTTTGAAGAACTTATAAGCTATCAATGGTTAAATTCTTTCATCCATCAAACATGAGTGCCTTCTATGTGAAGGGCACCTAATTAATCATTATATTATAAAAATATGAATGATCTCTGCTTTTAAGGAATTTCTAGTGTATTATGTTCACCAACAAATAGTTACAGTACAATATAAAATGCTTCTGTAGGTGAATGTTGAAAGACCATGTGGCATTAAGTAGGAAGCCACTCACAAAAGTAAAACTATGAAATACTTGATTTTAGAGTAAAATTTGACATTATATTCTTTTTTTCCCTTTCCTTTTCACTTTCCCCATCATAATAAATTTTAGTAAATACCATAATGTTTTATTCTCTTTCTAGGAGATAAAAACAGCTCATAAGTTGGCGAAGAGATGTTATACAAATCCACCACAATGGGCCAAGTGTCTCTTCAGTCATTGTTTCAGTTTGTGGTTTATTTGTCTCCCAGCCTATGTTAGAGTTTCTCATCCTAAGGTCAGAGCACTTCAGCAGGCCTATGATGTACTTATTAAGATGAGGAAAACAGACGTGGATCCACTAGATGAGGCAAGTATAATGAATTGAGAATGTTACTAAGTTAAATTTTATTTTTGTATTTTTAAGAAAAGTTATTTCTCAGTTGCTTTAAAGTGTCCTCAGGTATTTTCATTATAAGCAGGAAAGGTAAAACATTTACTGTTTCATAGAGATAGTACTTATTATTTATTTTAAAATATGTTTATTTTAAAAATTACTGCTTTGGAATGAAGCTGAGACTTATTATTTAGACCAGATTGTTTGTCCTTGATAAATAGAAAATAATATTTATTTCATTTTACTTTTGATATAACTTTGTTAGGAAGCAAATAGGGAGTAGGCTTTCCACTAGGACCTATGTGCTAGGGTGCATTATAAAATCAATTTGTGTTTCAGATTATGTATCTGAAATGTAGTTCCAAGTTTCTCAATCTTGGTACCACTGACATTTAACATTTTTTTTATTTATTAGAGAGAGTTATTATTCCACTTATTTATGCATCTCTTGGTTGATTCTTGTGTGAGTCCTGGCCTGGGATCAAATCTGCAACCTTGGTGTATCAGGATGACACTAACCAATTGAACTACCCGGCAGGGCACTGATGACATTTTGACCTGCATAATTATTTATTCTGGGGGCCTGCCTTGGCCTGTCTTGCACATTGTTGGATGTTTACCAGCATACCCACTAGATGCCAGTAGCAAACCCTTCCTGCCAGGGCAATCAGAAATGTCTTAGACATTGCCAAGTGTCTCCCCTGGAGGACAAAATTGCCCCACTGGTGTTGGTAATAATAGTACCTTCCTCATAAGTTTAGTTTGAGGGTTAAATCAGTTAATGTACATAATGTGCCTAGAATAGTACCTGGCTCCTAGTAAACACTGAGTGAATGGTGTGTTACATGTTTTACATTCAATCTCTCTCTTTAAAAAAAATTTTTTTTAATTGATTTTGGAGAGAGGAAGGGAGAAAGAGAGAAAGATGGAAACATCAATGATGAGAATCATTGATTGGCTGCCTCCTGCATGCCCCCTACTGGGGATCGGGCCCACAACCTAGGTATGTCCCCTACCAGGAATCAAACCGCGAACTCCTGGTTCGTGGGTTGATGCACAACCACTGGGCGGGCGACACTGGCCAGGCCATACAATCTCTCTCTTAAGCTTTAGAAGCATCCTAAGAGATGGTTGAAGAAGCTGAGTCACTAATTTAGTCTCTCTCTGTTCTCTTTTCCCTTTAAAATTATTTTTAGTGTTAAGATAATTATAAATGATATATAGAACCAGATTAGAATTTAAAATGAAGTTGAAATAAAAATTCAGTAATAGATGCCTGGGAGGAAGGAGAGAAAGAGTGAGAACACAAGTTTAGAAGAGAAATGGGATTGAAGAGAGCACATTATAGCTTGAGCGATAGCTATATATTTTTTTTTCTTTAAAATACAAAGATCTGAAACTATTACAGTATTTACAGTATTAAGATTTGATAATGCTGTGGGCATACTAAAACTCATTTTTCTCTAAGTATTATCTGTATATTTATAAAAGCTTTTAAAATAAAAAGATGTAAAGCAAGTATTACTATCCATTCTCATATTTGATTACATTTCCTCTCATCTAATGTTTATAAAACAATTTGGAAATTAAAAGTACTTGACCATAGCCTTGACCGAGTAGCTTAGTTGGTTAGAGTGCTGTACCAATACGCCAAAGTTGCGGGTTCAATCATGGTCAGGGCACATACAAGAAGTAATCAATGAATGCATAAGTAAGTGGAATAACAACTAAAAAAATTTTCATGTACTTGATCAGAATCAGTGCTTTCCATTTCATACATTTTAGTGTTTTTTAAAATTCTGGTAATTTTTATATCTAAGAAGCATTTCAAGATGTTTTAAGTTTTTTGGAAAGTATACACTTAAAGTGTTTTAAAGTATTCTGTAAATATTTTGTTATTGTACTCTAAATTGAAAGCATAATTCTTGATTATTTCTTTGATAAGTTATAAGTTCACAAGACATATCAGAATTGCCTAAAAACGATTTTCTTCCAAAGGTATTAAAGTTCTATGGTAGTCTCTGGTACAAATAATGATGTTCTCTTATTTTCTAACATGCAGCAATTAGAACCAGTAAGCTAAGAAATTTTTTCTATTTCAACAATAAACAGCATGATAGGTTTAAAATTTCAAGGTTGATTTCTTCTATTTCAACTTCTAACAAGTTATATCGAGAGATTTGTAGTGTGCTGAAGTAATTGCATTTTTACTGCTGGAAGAAATGTTTGTTTAATACTTAAGAATGCATATTTGATGCATTTTATCTGTTTATTGATTACACATAGAATAGCACATTAAAGTTTTTACAGTATTTTCATGTATATTATTTCCTTTGGTATTCCCAGCAACTCTGTGAGGCAGTTTATATATTAGCTACGTTTTAAAAAGATAGAAATTTGGCCCTAGCCAGTTTGGCTCAGTGGATAGAACACCAGCCTGTGGACTGAAGGGTTCAGGGTTCTATTTCGATCAAGGGCACATGCCCTGGCTGTGGACTCAATCCTCAGTAGGGGGCGTGCAGGAGGCAGCCGATCAATGATCTCTCCCATCATTGATATTTCTATCTCTCTCTCCCTCTCCTTTCCTTTCTGAAATCAATAGAAATATCTTTTATTAAAAAAGAATGATACTGTGCCTTACTCATCTTAAAAAATAATAATAAATTAATAAATAAAAAGAAATTTGAAACAGATGAATTGACACACACATAGCCCCCCTCCCACCCCCCACCCCTCCAGCAAGTAAATAGTGTGCATGTTCAGGTCCATATTCCATCAGAACCCACAGTTTCTCCCCTCCCCTCGCCTTATCCAAGGATATTTTTCTCATTTTTTAATTTAATTTTATTTTTTTAGAGACAGAGAATGGTACGGGTTGGGGGGGGCAGGGAGTGTGGGGGAGAGAAAAAGAAACATCAATTGGTTGCTTCACGCATGCACCCTGAACAAGGCTGGGATGGAACCTGCAACCAAAGTACTTGCCCTTGACCGGAATTGAACCTGAGACCTTCAGTCAACAGGCTGATGCTCTAATCATTGAGAAAAACTGGCTCGGGCCCCTCTGTTTAATTTATAAGCGTAATGTTTTAATTTGACAGCTTTGTGCTCTACATTTTATGTTTGTAAAAGTTGTAATAACCTAGACTTTATCATAAAACTTTAGAAGACCCAGAAATAGCACATGCCACTGAGGCTGAATTAAAATTAAAATGTATAATGCATTTTGCTTTTTATACTATTTACTGAATTTTAAATGAAAATGAAATATTTGTGTCATGCTTATTTCTATATTGTCTCATTAGTCTAACAGATATTTTTGAGTAACCATCCCAGACCTTAGTGGCTTAGAAGAGCTATTTTATTAAGTCATAATTTTTTTGGCCAAGAACCTAGGAAATAATTCTGTGTGGTTTTTCTGTTCCATATTGCTTTAACTGGAATCACTTGGTTATAACCAGTTGCTTGCTGGTGTGGTCTGGAGGGTCCCAGACAATTTAACTCAAAGGCTTGCCAGGTACCTTGGCAAGTTTGACTGGAAGGCTGGGCTCAGGTGGGACCCTCTCCTTCCACATAGTCTCAGGACCTCCCCATGTGGTATTTGGGCTTTTTCCATGATAGCTTAGAGAGCTCCAAGGGCATTTGTTTCAAGAGAGAGGAAGTAGAAACTGGCAGTTTCTTAAGTCTTAACCCTGGAAACTGGTACAGTGTCACTTCACCTGAATTCTGTTAGTCATACAACAGAATTAGCCCTTCCCCCTCAATTCAAAGGGAGGGACATAGACCTTTCAATGTGAGGAGTAGCAGAGTTGTTTGCCATCTTTCTCTACCACAGATATCCAGAAGATAATCATGTTGTAGGCAACAAAATACTGCAATTGGCAATTATATCTCTGATGTTATTACTATTTATTTAATTTGGTGCCTGTGTCTTACACAAGTATACCTAGAAGGTTAGGGGAACACTCTGCAGACCTCGAATAAATTCATCATCTAGAATCATTTTAGAAAATTCAGATTAATCCCAATTTGATATAGAAAATGATTTTCTTAGAATTGAATAGGACTTTAAGATATTTTAATATAATTTTAACCTAAAACTGAGATGCTCTAGAAATTTTGTAATATATGGGATCTTGCCTATGTTTGAATTGGCCCTACTTGTTATAAAGTGTGTGTGTGTTTTGCCCTGACCAGTGTTCACAATGGTTAGAGCGTTGGCCCTGGTCAAGGGCACATACCTGGGTTGCAGGTTCGATCCCTGGCCCCAGTTGAGGGTGCATGTGGGAGGCAACCAATCAATGTGTTTCTCTCAAATGGATGTTTCTCTTGTCCTCCTTTCCACTTTCTCTCTTTAAAAAAATCAATGGCAAAAATATCCTCTGTTGATTAACAAAAATAAATAAATAAAGTGTGTGTGTTTTATGATGAGCTCAGTTCCACCTCTCTATAGCTTTTTGGAGTTGCACAAACTGTTTACTCTCTCTTTTATGTGACAATTCTTCAGATATCTGAAGTACCCTCTTGTGTCACATTCTTCTTCATTCTTTCATACATCTTACCTAGTTCCTTCAGTTGTTCCTAATTCATGTAGTTTCATAACCTGGTCATTTATAGAGTATCTCTGACAGTTTCTGACCTTTTGCTCCTAAGTTATACCGTGCATTTCTAGCTTCATAGTACTCATCCTAATGATGCTCTGCCTCTTCAGCTCTCTTTTCACATCTCATCTCTTCTGTTCTCTTGAATATAATTCCTTTCTCAAAATTTGCTTTCTCCTTTAGTAGAAAGAGCAGCTTGGCTTAATGGTACAGTTGTTAAGCAACTCTGTCACAAACAGAGCACATTTTATGAGTCTCAAGAAGAATATCTCCTATGTGTACATATCCTTATTCTAGTCACAAAATTGTGTGTCATCCTTGCGCAGGGCAGGGGCCATGCTTATCATTTTAATTTTAGTATATGTGCTGCTGAAGCGAGCACTCCTTATTCTCAGAATAAACTATTTATTTATTATAAATAAGTTTGTGACTGCCCTGTCACTGTTTGTATAAACTGGCTCACCTCTTAGCCAAGGATCATTGAGATTCCTGTTTCATTCTTCATGTTTTCTGCCATCATCTTTTAATATATAAGATTCTAACTTTTAGAGGAGTAACCAATTGACTTGTCCTCTTATGATAAAATCTGGACCCCCTTGGTAAACACATGCCAAGAAAAGCCTTTGCTAATTATAGTTGTGTTTCTATCTTTTTTTCACATACTTTTTAAATACATGGTTTTACAGAATTCTTTTTATTATATTGGCATCCTAGAGAATGCTGTCTTTAATTCCTTTTGCACAAAATATAAAACATTATTTAGGAGAGAGCTATTTTAATCATACTTTATTTTAAAAACGAATTTTTTAAATTATGGAGAATAATAGTCATTCTCTTTGTGCATACTTAGTTACTGAAACAAATGGCACACATGCACATAGATCTTAAGTTCAACAGTCAGTAATCCTGGTACTTCTATTAATGAATGAGTTTTACAAATAATTTACCGAGACACTCAAACCACAACAATAGAAAAAGTAGTGCTTAATAACTTTGAGAAGAAGAATTGGGTAAATCATTTAAAAATCTCTACAAGTCATGGATGGACTGTGTGCTAACTACTGCTAATGCTTTGATGTTATTTTTTGCTAGGTGTGCTATCGAGTAGTAATGCAGCTTTGTGGACTTTGGGGCCATCCTGTTTTAGCAGTCAGAGTCTTATTTGAAATGAAAACTGCTAACATAAAGCCAAATGCTATTACTTATGGTTATTATAATAAGGTAAGTAGGATTGACATTGGGCAATGTATGCTCCTTATTAAGACTGATAATTTTTTAATACCTTCTTTTAGAGGGTTTTTATATATGTACTATATATGTATGTATATTTTCAAAAGTCAAATATTTCTAATAACTATTACTTTTACCTTTATTTTACTTTTAGGTAGTTTTGGAGAGCCCGTGGCCTAGCAGTACCCGCAGTGGTATCTTCTTATGGACGAAGGTACGGAATGTGGTACATGGCTTGGCACAATTTAGGCAGCCGCTTAAAAAATCCGTACAAAAGTCACAGGTCTCCTCAATATCAGGTAATACATGTGATTGGAAAGATACTTTCTTGCTGAACCATAAGCTTCATAGTTTTATGAATTTTAATTATATGAAGTATAATTTCTGTGGTTTGAAGTATAATTATATGAAGTAGAAAATGTAAATCAAATTCTAGTTGATAATTTTATATATAACTAAAGATATATTACCTTTGCCCAAAATTCTCCCCCCACCCCCATATTTAGAAAGTGTTCTGCAACTTTAAATGAACTATGGGTCATTGATGTTTAGTTTGATATTGTCAGTGCATGAATTATTGAACTGCTGTTGTCCTTATCTTTAGCTCCTCAGAATGCCACAGGTGGAAGTGATGGGGACACGGTGAGCCACGGTAGCGTGGATAGTTCTAATGATGCTAACAATGGGGAGCACACAGTCTTCGTCAGAGATTTAATCAGTCTTGATTCCATTGATAATCACTCTAGCACAGGTACTAAATCTGGATTTACTAACCCTTCACTTAATCTCATGTTAAGTCTTTCCTTTTTTAAAAAGCTTTTACACCCCTCTCGAGTTTGGGTAATAATGAGCTTTATGTACTTTTAAAATACTGTTCTCATATATAAATAAAGGAAGGAATTATACCTTTGATTGTTGTTCACTTCTCTCTATTTCCTATAGTTAACTTTGGAGTGCTGTGCAAAAGGCTCTAGGCATGGAACTTCTCTGTATTTGTTCATCATTCGTTTGTGAAAGTAGATGATATAATTGTTAGTGAATGTGCAATGAGGAACTTGAATGTTAATGACAAAACTTGCAAATCTTTTTTTGAGATTATGAATATTAAAGAGGAAAGAATAATTTGCACACCATGAGAAAAAGTATTTTCTGCGTAGTCATTACTTAAATGACACTTTTAAAAATCTGAGAAATTACTGAAGCTACTTTTACATACAAATCTATGGGCATAACCTCTGTCCTCTGAAGGTAGAATTAAGCATAATTAAAGGAGCACATTGAGCAGATATATATGTGTTGCACATCATTCTTCTTATTTGTTCTTTTTTTTGTTAATATCTCAGGCTTTTCTTTAAAAAGAATTCTAATTCCTGTGCTTCATCTGATATCTTAAATCAATGACTGAAGTTTCCTTTCTCTGCTCTTTGTTGCTTTGCTTTTTGCTCTGTGCTGTTTCTTGGTGCTGCATTTGTCCTTGGCTGTCATGGTGTGGGGGTTCAGACAGACTTGTATGACGTGAAGCTATGGATACACATGTGCGTTAATTCTACTCTTGAATATTAACCACTTCAGGTAATTTCCCATTTATTAGGTTAAATTTTGCTGACATGCAAGGGTTGGGAGAGACCTTTTGTATTTTAAATTTTGTTACCAGTGGAAAACAATTATAGTTTTTTGGGCTTCTCCTTCAGATAAGTGTAATCATATATGTACTACTGAAAATATTCAATGAAAATTTGATGATCAATTTGCAAACTTATTGTTATCTTATTTGTAAATACACTGTACCTTACGATAATTCTTATTTTGTGGTTGGTTTATAGCATTATTGTGTCCAATAGTTTTATAGTCATTAAAGCTTTCAGTGTTCCACCTGTTGAGGTGGTTTTTGCTTGCTAAAACTCATCTGAATTCTTTTTTTTTTTTAATTTATCTTTATTGTTGCAAGTATTACAAATGCTCCCCCCTTTTCCTCCATTGACCATCCCCCTCCTCTCTATTCCTGTCCCCACCCCAGGCTTTCATCCAACTATTGTCTGTGTCCATGGGTTATGCATATAAGTTCTTTGATTGATCGCTTCTCTCCCCTCCCCCCCTTCCCTCTGAGGATCCTCAGTCTTTTGCATGCCTCCATGTCTCTGGATCTATTTTGTTCATTAAATTCCACATATAAGTGAGATCACGAGATACTTGTCTTTCTCTGACTGGCTTATTTTGCTTAGCATAATACTCTTCTGGTCCTTCCATGCTGTCTCAAAGGGTAAGAGATCCTGTTTTATTGCTGCACAGTATTCCATGGTATAAATGTACCCCAGTTTCTTTTATCCTTTCATCTACTGAGGGGCACTAGGGCTGTTTCCAGATCTTAGCTATTGTAAATAACCCTGCTGTGAACATAGGGTGGTTTATATCCTTTCTGATTGGTGTTTCAGGCTTCTTCAGATATATTCCTAGAAGTGAGATCACTAGGTCAAATGGCAGTTCCATTTTTAATTTTTTGAGGAAACTCCACACTATTTTCCATAGTGGCTGTACCCGTCTGCATTCCCACCAGCAGTGTACTAGGGTTCCTTTTTCGCCACATCCTCAACAGCACTTGCCATTTGTTGATTTATTGATGGTAGCCATTCTGGCAGATGTGAGGTGGTACCTAATTGTTGTTTTAATTTGCATCTTTCTGATGATTAGTGACTGAGCATTTTTTCGTATGTCTCATGGCCATTTGTATGTCCTCTTTGGAGAAATGTCTATTTAGGTCTTCTGCCCATATTTTGATGGGATTGTTTGTCTTCTTTTTGTTGAGTTGTATGATTACTTTATATATTTTGGAGATTAACCCCTTATCAGATGTTGGCAAATATGTTCTCCCATACAGTGGGTTTTCTTTTCATTTTGATGCTGGTTTCTTTTGCTTTGTAGAAGCTTTTTATTTTGATGTAGTACCATTTGTTTTTTTTTTCCTTTGTTTCTCTTGCCCTAGGCATTGTATCAGTGTAAATTTTACTACATGAGATGGCTGATATTTTGTTTCCTATGTTTTCTTCAAGGATTTTTAAAAAATATATATTTTATTGATTTTTTTACAGAGAGGAAGGGAGAGGGATAGAGAGTTAGAAACATCGATGAGAGAGAAACATCCATCAGTTGCTTCCTGCACACCCCCTACTGGGATTGTGCCCAAGGTACATGCCCTTGACCGGAATTGAACCCGGGACCCTTCAGTCTGCAGGCCAACACTCTTTCCATTGAGCCAAACCGGTTAGGGCTCTTCAAGGATTATTATGGTTTCATGATTCACATATAAATATTTTATTCATTTTTAGTTTATTGTTGTGTATGGTATAATTTGGTGGTCCAGTTTCATTTATTTACATGTAGCTGTCCAGTTATTCCAATACCATTTATTAAGAGACTGTCTTTACTTCATTGTATGCTCTTGCCTCTTTTATCAAAGATTATTTGGGCATAATGGCTTGGGTAGATATCTGGGTTCTCTGCTCTGCCCATTGATCTACATGCCTATTCTTGTAGCAGTACCAGGCTGTTTTGATTGATCTGAATTCTTATGTGAAAAACTACCTGCATAGTTACAGAAGCATGTATGAATTATTGAAAGTCAACATAAGTATAAGTAACAATCCTCTTTGTAATTTAACTTTCTTTTATCAAGTAGGAATTTTTATGAGACTTTCATTTTAAAGCCACCTTATTTTATTTCCTCCTGTATGTTTTCTAATACTTATAAATGAGATGGATTTCACTTATGAAATACCAAGAAAATAATGTGGTATGAAATCATTTTACCAGGAATAATAATAACAATAATAATTACTCTCCTTATTCCTCTAAATTTTTTTTAATTTGATCTTTTATTTGCATTAAAGCTACTTAATTTTTTTATTTTTTTTTAATTAAATCTTTATTGTTCAGATTATTACATTTGTTCCTCTTTTTCCCCCCCATAACTCCCCTCCACCCAGTTCCCACCCCACCCTCCTCCCTCACTCCCCACCCACTGTCCTCATCCACAGGTGCACGATTTTTGTCCAGTCTCTTCCCGCATCCCCCACACCCCTTTCCCCCCCAAGAATAGTCCACTCCCTTTCTATGCCCCTGATTCTATTATAATCACCAGTTCATTCTGTTCATCAGATTATTCACTTGATTTTCAGATTGACTTGTTGATAGATGTGTATTTGTTGTTCAAAATTTGTATCTTTACCTTTTTCTTCTTCTTCCTCTTCTTAAAGGATACCTTTCAGCATTTCATATAATACTGGTTTGGTGGTGATGAACTCCTTTAGCTTTTTCTTATCTGTGAAGCTCTTTATCTGGCCTTCAATTCTGAATGACAGCTTTGCTGGATAAAGTAATCTTGGTTGTAGGTTCTTGGCATTCATCACTTTGAATATTTCTTGCCACTCCCTTCTGGCCTGCAAAGTTTCTGTTGAGAAATCAGGTGACATTCGTATGGGTACTCCCTTGTAGGTAACTGACTTTCTTTCTCTTGCTGCTTTTAAGATTCTCTCTTTGTCTTTTGCTCTAGGCATTTTAATTATGATGTGTCTTGGTGTGGTCCTCTTTGGATTCCTTTTATTTGGGGTTCTCTGTGCTTCCTGGACTTGTAAGTCTATTTCTTTCATCAGGTAGGGGAAGTTTTCTGTCATTATTTCTTCAAATAGGTTTTCAATATCTTGCTCTCTCTCTTCTTCTGGCACCCCTATAATTTGGATGTTGGTGCGCTTAAAGCTGTCCCAGAGGCTCCTTACGCTATCTTCATATTTTTGGATTCTTTTTTCATTTTGCTTTTCTGGTTGGGTGTTTTTTGCTTCTTCGTATTTCAAATCTTTGACGTAATTCTTGCGCTCCTCTGGTCTGCTGTTGGGAGTCTGTATAATATTCTTTATTTCAGTCAGTGTATGCTTAATTTCTAGTTGGTTCTTTATCACAACATCGAGGGTCTCATTAGATTTCTTGTAGATCTCATTAAGTTTGTCGGCAGTTTCTAGAAAATTATTGAAAGACCTTAAAAGTGTGGTTTTGAACTCTATATTCAGTAGTTTGCTTTCCTCCATTTCTGTCATTTGTGTCCTTTTTCTTTGTCTCCGCATTTTTTATGCTTCCCTGTGTTGATACAGTGGTTTTTTGTGCTAAGTGCCCTCTAGGGCCCAGTGGTTCAGCCTCCCCAATTACCTGAGGAGGACACACTTGGTGAACCCCCTTGTGGTCTTTGTGCATAGTCTTGTTGTAGTTAAGCCTTGATTGTTGTAGGTATCACTGGGAGGAATTGGCCTCCAGGCCAGCTGGCTGTGAGAATCAGCTGTGTCTGCAGTGGGAGAACTTCTGTGCTGGAGACACCCCTCTGGGGCAAGACTTGCTTCAATGGGGCTTTGGTGCTCACTGAGTCTGCCCCCTGAGTGTGTCCTTTATGTTTCCACGGAGCTGCAAACTGGATGGTCCCACTCTGACCTCTGGGCTTCCTGGCTCCTGGATCTCTAGGGAGGTGCTTATCTAGCCTTTGCCTGAGGCTATCAAGCAAAAGCCTCCCTGCAGGGCTTGGGTGGGGCGGATCCCACGGGCACAACAGCGTGGGGCTAGCAGTTATGGCTGCTCTCAGTCCTGCCCTCAGAGGCTTTGCTTCTCAATGTCCCGGTAATCGCTGCAAGCCCCTCTGAGAGAAAGCTGCCCTCGAGTTCCGCTGCCAGACAGTCCCGGTTCTCCCGTATAAGTCTGGGTCCCTAGAGACTCGCCCGGAACTGGAGCTCAGAGCCTGAGACTCCCTCCCGATTGAAAACGACAACTGCGCCCTCAGCCGCCAGCCCTCTCCGCATGCACCTCCGCACCTTAGTATTTTACTTCCGCACTGCGCCTCCTCTGAGTCTCAGTATGCTTTTCTCTTTCCTTCTGGTTGTAGAATTTCCACTCAGCCAGCCTTCCTGTGGTTCTGGGTGATGTCCGTTCCGTCTTTTAGTTGTATTTTTGAAGTGGTTGTGCGAGGCAGCAATCTCCAGTGTTTACCTATGCCGCCATCTTGGTTTCTCTCTCCTCTAAATTTTTAAACTTGTCTCCTTTAATAGAAAAAATCTCCTAGTAACCCTGTGTAATTGACATAAAGATTCCAGTAGTTGGAGAAGAAACTTCAGATCCCTTTTTCATGTTTCTTTTAAGCTGCATTTCAAGTAGCTAAAGACCCAGTACTGAATTTACAATTAATATATATCTCTGTAGAGTTCTGGTGATGTCATTTTATATTTTGGAAACTTGTAGCCCAGATGCTTAAGTTACTGTTTTCATTAAGAATTATCTTGTAGAATCTTTTCCACTTGGTACCTGATACTGAGTCACTTGTTCGGGAGCATATCTGGGCTTGATCAGTTTACTCAGTTTCCAGTCTAGTGTCCTTTCACTGCACCACGGTGTTTGTTTTAGCAGCCTTTCTGAGAGAGCCAATCAAAACGTGACTGAAATTAGTCATTCTAATGGCATTTAAAGAAGTTTAGTTCTTTTGTTATATATTGGGCAAACCCAATGTTTAAGCAGCAGTGTAACAAGTGGTAGTAGAAAGTATAAGACACTGTATTTTTTATTTTATGTGTTTTTCATTGATGTCCTTTATAAAAGGACTATCTAGTAACTGGCCTTAGTTTGGTTTTAAATGATACAATTTTAAAGCCAAAATAAACTTTCAAAAAACTTCAATTTAAATAATTTCAAACTTATAGAAATGTTGCAGAATAATAGAGAACTCTTAAATAACTTTAATTTAGATGTGCTCACTTTTAGTTTGTCACATTTGTTTTATTGTTTTCTTTCTATATGCATATTTATTTTTTGTAATCATGTGCAAGCAAGTCAATATATCTTGCCCTGTTACCACTTAATACTTCAGTCGTATTTTCTCTTACATAACCACAGTATAGTCACCAAATTCAATTGATAAACTGCTTTAATCTATAGTCTGTGTTCCAATTTTGTCAATTATTGTGATGTCCTTTGTGGTACTTTAACTCCCTCCCTCTCTGTAGTCTCCTTTAACCTGGCACAGTTCTTTATCCTTTCTTTGTCGTTCATGACTTTGAACCTTTTGAAGAATTCAGTCCAGTTATTTTGTGGAATGCTCAGTTTGAGCCTGCCTGATATTCCATGTGATTAGATTAGGTGATGCATCCATGGCTCTGCTACAAAAGTGATATTGTATCCTTCTCAGATTTTCATGTGGCAGAGGCACACAGTGTCCCAGAGGCACACGGTGTCTGTCTGCTCCTCATTGGTGAGGTTAATTGTGATCACTAGTCTCAATGTTTGGTTTCTCTGAGTTACTGTTATCCCCCTTGCAGATAATAAGCTATCTGTAAGGAGACACTGAGAGGCTGTGCAGTAATAGCCTCTTTCTTATCACATTTTCTCGTTTAAATTTAGCATCCATTGAAGATTCTTGCTTGAACCAGTCTTTACTGTGATGGTTATAAACTGGTGGTTTTACCAACTCTATACTCCCTCCACATTTATAAGATGGTATTCTATCATATATCCTTTAGGCATGTTTCCTTCATGTTGTTGTGGTTTTGTGTGTGTGTGTGTTTTAATATGTTTTTATTGATTTGAGAGAGAGAGAGGAAGGGAAAGGGATAGAGACATAGAAACATCAATGAAAGAGAAACATCCACCAGCTGCCTCCTACATGCCCCTACTGGGGATCGAGCCCACAACTGGGCAGGTGCTCTGACCAGGAGTCGAAGCAGTGACCTCTTCGTTCATGGGTCCACGTTCAACCACTGAACCACACCGGCCGGGTCTATCATGTTTGGAGCACTTCCTTTCTTGCATAATAAAATGTTCCTGACTTACTCTTACACCTTCCCTGCCTGAGCTCTGGAATCAGCCATTTCTTCGAGGATCCTAGGTTTCTTTTAATGGGCAAATATTTTAGAAACCAAGGTCTGGGCTATAGGTGTGTTTACTACTACCAAGGTGTTACTGCTTCTTGACTTATTCAGCAGAGCTAGAAAATATGTTTTTATATAGTAGAACTACTTCTGATTCCAATCAAGCCCACAGGTTTTTCTTTGCCTTCCTTCATTATTTTTTTTTTTTAATTCTCTCTTCCACACTAAGAATCTTGGCTCCCAGAAATATCATCACATTTACTCATTTGCTCAAACCTGAGTAATAAATAATTTCAGAATTGCTACATCCATTCCCCTGTGAAAAACAAACCCCCTAAGGAGTTCAGGATTTGACTGTTACCCCCAGGCTTAGAATATATATTCAAAATAAAGTGTTCCAAAGTTACTTGTATGAGTCCTCCCATCTTTCCAGTGTGGTTATGGTATTCATATGAAATAGAGTTGGTTTCATTTGTTTCTGTTTGTATTCAATTTTAGTTACTTCCCCTCCCATATCCCCACTTTATTGATCTAATTTTTATGAATATTTAGAAATTAGTGTTTTCCAAAAATAAAGACTATAACAAGCTATATTTAGAAAAGTTTCTCTGTCCCTTCCATCCTATTTTTTTAAAGATTTTCTTTTATTTTTTAAATATATTTTAATTTATTTCAGAGAGGAATAGAAGAGGGAGAGAGAGGTACAAACATCAATGATGAGCAAGAATCATTGATAGGTTGCCTCCTGCACGCCCCCCTACTGGGGATCGAGCCCACAACCTGGACGTGTGCCCTTGACCGGAATCGAACCTGGGACTTTCAGTCTGCAGGCCGACGCTCTATCCACTGAGCCAAACCGGCTAGGGCCCTTCCATCCTATTTTGCCCCACCCCATGTAGGTAACAGGTTTTGTTTTTGTTTTATTACTCCTTCATTTCTTTTTGCAAAAGTAAGAAGGTATATGTTTGTTTTATTTCCTCTTCTTACACAAAAAGTAGCATTCTATAGATACATTCCAAAAGACATTTTGTCCAAATTTGTTAATTTACAGATAAGGAAATTAAGACTCAGTGCTTTCAAATGTGTAATGGGTTTTTAGTCTTCGGTATTCCTGTACCTACTGTTCTTTGCTTCTTACTATTTTAAAATGTTCTGTGTGATTTGTAAGTTTTCTTGTTTTCCTTTTCTCTAAGTTTAATTATGTAGATTAATGTCATTTTCTTTTGCAATGTTATAGCTGGACTGTAAGTATATGAAAACATTTCTATGTAAGCCTGCATTGTTTTTTCACAGGTGGTCAGTCTGACCAAGGCTATGGGTCTAAGGATGAACTTATAAAGGATGATGCAGAAATTCATGTGGCTGAAGAACAATTAGCAAGAGAATTGATAACCAAAACAAAAGTGCAAATAGAAGGTTAAGTACTGATATTTTCTAACTTTACTTAGAAAAATACCTGTGCTAACTACAAGTATTATTTGATAATTTAGTTCAGGGGTCCTCAAACTACGGCCCACGGGCCACATGCAAATACAAATATTGTATTTGTTCCCGTTTTGTTTTTTTACTTCAAAATAAGATATGTGCAGTGTGCATAGGAATTTGTTCATAATTTCTTTTTAAACTATAGTCTGGCCCTCTAACGGTCTGAGGGACAGTGAACTGGCCCCCTGTTTAAAAAGTTTGAGGACCCCTGATTTAGTTGATAATTTTTAGAAATGTAAGGTCTGAGCTTATAAGATACTATGTACCATTATATATGGTAGGTTTTGATAGTATCTGAATTTTAGAATTTAAGAGGTCTTTAAAGACTCAGTAGGTCAGCCCTCAGTTTTGTTGTAAACTGTGACCCATTAAAGTATTTATTTGTCAAATATATATAGCTACTTTGTGACAGAACCAAGACTAAACTTTGAGTCATCAAACTTGTATTCTAGTGTCCCCTTTATTTTAAAATGCTAAGTCCTTCAAATATCTAAGTGGATATTTTTTATTGGTAGTTTAAATATAGTCTTCGTGGTTTCTTGTTTTTTTATGGAACTCATTGAGGTAGAAATTATTTGTGGTAATCATTTTATAGAAATATGGAATAATATTTTGGCTTTATGGTAATAAGATGTTCTTCCTATCTTTTTACACTAAAGTATTCTTTCTTCGCCCTGGCCAGTATGGCTCAATGGGTTGGGTTATCATCTTGTACCCCAAAATGTGGCGGGATTTGAGTCCGGTCAGGGTGTGTATGGGAGGCACCTGAATCATTTTTTCATTTCCAAATCATTTGGAATCATTTTTTTTAAGTATACTTTCTTCATTGATGTCACCTTTTTTATGCTCCACTTATACAGAAGCAAGCTCATCTCCTACTTGACAAGTGATGAGTATAACTGAAGGCCTGAGCCTTACTTAAGAATGCTCAAGTTAGGATTATTGAATGCTAAAATAAAACTTTTATTTCAGTCATTACTGGCAACATTTGTGGCATAAAGTAAATCAGACATAATTAATCAGTAATAAAATAGTCATATATTCATCCTCACTTGGAGGTGGAAAACTACCTAGAATGTATTAAAATCAAATATATGGTTTCTGTTCAATATTGGCATAATTAGGAACTATAACATTCAAATGTTTTTCCCCCAGAGGTGTGTGATGTCTCTGCTGTGGTGGCAAAACATTCACAAGTTAGTGGAGAGCCACACAGTCCAACTGAGCCTCCTGCGTGGGGCAGCAGTATTGTGAAAGTTCCATCTGGTATATTTGATGTCAACGGCAGGAAAAGCAGCACTGGTGAGTCTTTATGTGTTGGTTATTAAATGTTTAAAATATACTTCTACAGATATACATGTGTTTAATGACATTCAAGTGTTGACTTAATTATAATGAACATGCTGAAGAGCCAGAAGTAAGTTTAAATCCTGTAAATGAACTAAAATAGTTATTTAAAGATATTTAACTCTTAAAATGAGAGATATTTATAGTGTTTAGTTCAGGGGTCCTCAAACTTTTTAAACAGGGGGCCAGTTCACTGTCCCTCAGACCGTTGGAGGGCCAGACTATAGTTTAAAAAAAACTATGAACAAATTCCTATGCACACTGCACATATCTTATTTTGAAGTAAAAAAAACGGGAACAAATACAATATTTGTATTTGCATGTGGCCCGTGGGCCTTAGTTTGAGGACCCCTGCTAAACATTTGGATTACCTTTTCTTATTGGGGTGCCTGTTCAGTTTGGTCCCACTTTCTCATAGTAGGTAATGAGAGGTGGCTATAGGGCCTCCTGTACTCATCAAGAACAGAGATGAAGCCTGGCTGGGTGTCTCAGTGGTTGGTCATCGACCCATGCACCAAAAGGTTGCCAGTTCCGTTTCTGGTCAGGGCACATGCCCGGGTTGCAGGCTTAACCCCCAGCAGGGAGCATACAGAAGGCAGCCAATCAATGTTGATGTTTCTCTCTCATTGATGTTTCTATCTCTTTCTCTCCTTCTCCTTTCCTCTCTCTCTAAAAATCAATTAAAAATATTTTAAAAAAACAGAGATGCAGTGATGTGATCAAATTCAAGTGCGCTTATGTGTGATAGGGTAATGCCTGTCATTGAAGGGAAATGGAAAAAAATGATTGACATCATTTACTACCTACACAAAATGCCAGTGAGCCTTTAATTTTGGCCCAGTTGTTATAAGCACTCTGAGCCACTTATTTGTGATTAAGTATTTATAATGAATAATTGTTATGTGTGACTATCTTGAATTTGAGTTTACTAATTTCAATTATGTTATAGCCTCCAAAGTACTCTTTTATTTTTGGTGGGTTTTTTTGTTTTTGTTTTTCAAAATACTCTTAAGGCATACATCTAAGTGTAGGATTTTAAAGGGTAATGAAATTAGCCTGTATTCTGTGCTCCTTGTTAGTAGCTATAATTCACTTCTCTAAAGTCAGCTCTCTTGTCTGTAAGTGTATCTGTTGTTTGACTTTATAGAACTTAATTTGCCCAGCTTTTTAAATCTATGTAGGAATAACTTCTTATTCCTAAAGTCTTTTTATTTTTGTATTTACTGTGACATGAAGTCAGTTCACTCTTGTGTGTATGGGGGGGCGGGGGGCGGCAGCACACATGAGGTGGAGCTAAAAGTTTTTTGAACAAATAATTTATATGTATGTTCTGTATCCCATTTTCCTAACCTATTGATAGCAGGTTAAAAAAAAAAAGGAGGGCAGAGTTTTCTTCATCAAAGGGTTAGAATCTTCTCAGAATATTGAAATGGACATGGTCTGTGTGTTTCCTTCCCTTTTTACTCATCTTATTTCCATGTTACATCCTGATCTGGGAAGATTTATGTTATTAAGAAAGAAAGAGGTGGTAATGGGGCTTTTGCCAGTACATCAAACAGTCAAATTCATTTTAAAATTGAACAAAATGTGCCACTAAATTTCTGCAGATACTATGAGAACCAGTAAATTTGCAAAGATCTGTTTCTCAAATATTGGTAAAAGCTTTCACAGCAGGTACAAATTTGTAAAATATGCTTATGATTCCCATAAAGGTTAAAAAATATCCCCAAATGCTTATTATTAGTTCTGTTTAATTGGTATGATTATAATTATTAGTTGGTACCAATTTGGAAGATTAAAAAGAAGCTTGGGCCTGGCTGGTGTGGCTCAGTTGAGCATTGTTCCATGCACTAAGAGGTTGCCGGTTCAATTCCTGGTCAGAGCACATGCCCAGATTGTGTCTCAGTCCCCAGTAGGGGGCATGTAGGAAGTAGCCTATCTATGTTTCTCTCTTTTTGATGTTTCTATCTCTCTCCCTCTCCCTTCCTCTCTCTAAAACCAATAAAAACATATTTTAAGAATCAAAAAAAAAAAAGAAGCTTGAAATCAGAGTGGAAAATTAAAAACCCTTATTAAAGACTTTCCCTTCAAATCTCTCAAATCATAATGTTTTTTGTTGTTGTTAATCCTCACCAAGGATATTATTTTTCCATTGCTTTTTTAGAAAGAGAGGGAGAGAGGGAGGGGTGGAGGGAGGGGTGGAGGGAGGGAGGGAGGGAGGGAGAGAGAGAGAGAGAGAGAGAGACAGAGACAGAGACAGAGACAGAGACAGAGACAGAGACATTGATGTGAGAGAGACACATCAATTGGTTGCCTACTGCATGCACCCTGACCAGATCCAGGGATCAAACCGCAACCCAGGTACATGCCCTTGATGGGAATGAAACCCTTTGGTTCAGGGGCCGGTGCTGAGCAAAACTGGCCAGGGCAGTCATGCCTTTTTTAAAAAAAATGTTTTTATTGATTTCAAAGAGAGGGAGAGATAGAAACATCAATGATAAGAGAGAATCATTGATAGGCTGCCTCCTGCATGTCCCCTACAGGGGATTGAGCCCACAACGTACGTATGTGCCGTGACCCTGAATCGAACCGTGGCCTCCTGGTTCATAGGTTGACATTCAACGACTGAGCCACATCGGCCAGGCCAGAATATATTTTTTAAATTGTATATTAAACCCTTAAAATGTAAGCTGTAGATCTATATTGACAAGTGAGATATAGTTTAGTAAACAAGTACATATTGCATGATTTTGTTTTAAAGTGTGTGTGTATTGCATAGAAGATGAAAGGCAGATTATACATTAAAATGTTACCTCTGGGAGGCAGGGTTGAATGGAGTTTTTTTGTACTTTTTTTTCTGTATGCTTTCTTTTTCCCTCTAAATATTCTGAATCTTTTACGGAGTATGTGTAACTTTCAAAAAATCAGAAAATTTTAAAATACTATTTTAGTAAACAGATTCTTTTTTTATCCTGTACTTTCTCTTTTAGGTAGTACATCAAATATGCTATTTTCTACTCTGGATCCAATTGAAGATACAGTCTTTGGTGAAGTTACTAATCTCAAGAATGGTGATAGAGGAGAAAAGAGACAAAAGCATTTTCCAGAGAGGAGCTGTAGTTTTAGTTCTGAAAGTCGGGCAGGAATGTTGCTAAAGAAGAGCAGTTTGGATCTGAATTCAAGTGAAGTAGCTATCATGATGGGAGCAGATGCCAAGATTCTCACAGCAGCACTGACGTATCCGAAGACTTCTCCACTTCATATTGCAAAACCCCATAGCTTGGGGAGTGTTGGCTGTCATCTAGCTGATACTAGGACTCGTGGGCCTGAAAGCACTTGGGATTCTGAGCACAGATCTTCAGTGTTAGAGATGCTTGAGGAAAGCCAAGAGCTCCTAGAACCTGTGATTGATGACAGTGTAGTTACAACTGCTATAACAAAGGATACACATGACAGTCTACAAAATGATAGTGACAGTAATCAGTCCAGAGACTTAAAAGCAGAGCCCAAAGATCTAATAAATAAAAGAAGTAGTTTATATGGTGTTGCTAAAGCTGTTGAGAGGGAAGATGTTGAAACTGGACTAGATCCTTTGTCTCTTTTAGCCACTGAATTTATAGTAGAGAAAACTGATTCTGAAGATAAGTTGTTTTCTCCAGTTATTGCACGTAATCTGGCTGATGAAATCGAAAACTATATGAACCTAAAGAGTCCCCTGGGTAGCAAGTCTTCTAGTATGGAATTACACGGAGAGGGAAACAGAGAGTCTGGAACTACCACTGCATTTATTCACCCTTTAGAGAGGAGATCAAGCCTACCTTTAGATCATGATCCACCAGTGCAGGAAAAGCCTGAAAGTGAAAAGAGCTCCCTCGCAGTGTCTAGATCTAAAACTTTTACTGGGCGTTTCAAGCAGCAGACTCCCTCTCGAGGTCATAAAGAACGTCCAACTTCTTTATCAGCACTGGTGCGTTCTTCACCACATGGCTCATTGGGTTCTGTGGTAAATTCTTTGTCAGGACTAAAGCTGGATAATATACTCTCAGGGCCCAAGATAGATGTCATAAAATCGGGTATGAAACAAGCAGCGACAGTAGCCAGTAAGATGTTGGTAGCTGTAGCGACTGCCTACAGCTACTCAGATGATGAGGTAAGAGTGTTTTATGCGTGTAGTCTATCTGATATTAGAATGTTTATAGTATTTTTAATATACTTATTTAGAGATTTCTGTAACTTTGGTGTTTATATTTTAAAACTTTGTACATACCTTATTTCTTTAAATGACTTGAGCCTATATCTAAGGAAATTAATAATGAAGAAATAGAATATCAGGACTATATAATTCCATAGATCAATACATTAAGTTCATTTCTTTGAAAGCACTAATGATTAAGGTTTTAATTTAATAATGGTGCCATGTTATATTTGCATAGCACTTCACTTTTTAAATAAATTTACCTTTGTTATCTTTTTAATATATATGAGCTCTGTTCACAGCTTGATCCATAGATTTCATACTGCATAACAAAAACCGGTAATTCTCTTAAAAATAATTTTAAAGAGAATTAATTGTTAGATCTTATGAAAATAGAAGTGGGGAAATTTTGCTTATTTGTTTCATAGAAAACTCTAAAATTTTGCCATTGTGTTTAAAGAATCGTAGTATTTTAGTAGAAAAAACAGAACTATAAATGTTTATTATTATTATAGTACTATATTCTAGGTATTGCCATAAGTTATATATTATTTTTATACATGAATATATATACACACATATGTTTATTTAATTTTTGTAGCAATCTCATGGGTTGGCACTACTATTATCCCCATTTTATAAATGAGGTATCTGACATTCAGAGAGGTTAATTAACTTCCCCAGGTCATACAACCTAGTGAGTGGCAGAACTAGAATTTGAAGTCTTGGAGATTTGCTCTAGAGTTCATGCTCTTAACCACTATAGTAGCAAAGAAGGGAACAATATCTTAGAAAATGTTCCTGTGGGGACTGTCCAAAAAGAGCAAAGCAGATGATACCTAAGTTGGGTTTTGATAGATAAATTGAAAGTTTTGGGTTAGTCAAAGTGATCAGAGGACAGAATGTGTATTTGAGAGAATAATGGGAAAAGTATGGAGGCTTAAAACATGCATTTTCAAGGTAATATAATCAATTTCAGGTTGCTAAAGTTCTAAATAGTAAGTAGAAGCAGGAAATTAAATTGGACAGATAAGACTTGTATACTGTTTGAAGGAAATCTATAGGCAAACTTAATTGAATTAAAAGTACAGTATTATAACACAAATTGTATGTTGTATTTAAAGAGCTTACAAGGTCAGTTAAGGAAAGACAAAATAAGGTAGTTTCAAAAGTATCTTAACCTGGCATTATTTTAAAAAAAGATGAGCCATTTTATATTTGAAATTTTATCTAACAGTGTTTTTAAAAAGCTTTATACAGAGTAATTTGGACTTGGAATATATGATTGTAAATTCCAAATGGTCACAGAACTTCATCTTTCTTTTCTTTCCATTGCTATAGCCCCAGTACCAGTGCCTGGCAAAGCAAATAAGATATACCTAATAAATAATTTCAAAGGAAGAAAAGAATAAAAAGTCCATAAAATGTTTATAGTGTAAAAGTAGCTCAAGGGAATTCATCAGTAGCTTATGTAAAATTTAAAGCATTCTGAATGTTTAAGATGTGCCAAATACATAATAGTACATCAGTAAATTGAATCAGTATGGAGGGGTTTAAATAATGTCATTCAATCTTATTAAATCTTCTACAAAATGAATTGCATAAGAAGAATAGATTAAAAAACAATAGGTTAAAAACAATTTCTATTTCATAAAAATTTATTATACATATTTTAAAATTAGGATATACATCAAGTTTTGATTGTACTCTGGGTATTGATATAATAAGTGCTTTCATTTCCTGTCATGCATATCTGTATTTAAAAATTTTTATCATTTGATAATGGTTTTATAATACAGAAGATACAAGTCTTCTTTAAAGCAAAAAATTAAAAAGACTGCTTATTGAAATGTTTTTTATTTAAACTAAAGCATTGATAATCACAATGGTGAAGGACTAGTATTTGGAACTTTAGTCATAATATCTCTACTATTGATGGTTGTTACTCTGAACAATCATATTCCCAGCTGAAAGTCTCAAAACAACCTTATTTTATTTTTTATTTATTTTTTTAAATATATTTTATTGATTTTTTTTACAGAGAGGAAGGGAGAGGGATAGAGAGTTAGAAACATCGATGAGAGAGAAACATCGATCAGCTGCCTCCTGCACACTCCCTACTGAGGATGTGCCCACAACCAAGGTACATGCCCTTGACCAGACTCGAACCTGGGACCCTTGAGTCCACAGGCTGACGCTCTATCCACTGAGCCAAACCGGTTAGGGCACAACCACCTTATTTTAAATGACTCATATTTTCAGATGATAAAATTAAATGTTAGAGAAGCAATTTTTGTAAGGTCAGATACTTAATGCGTGATGGGGAGCCAAGATTTCACTCTGGCTCTGTCTGACTAAAGCTCCTACTCACTTGTGTTGCCATCCCCGATCCCACTGGACAGTGAGCTCCTAGAGTTCCTTCATTTTATGATACTGAGTATTGAGAGGCATCCGGTACCCCAAACATAACCAGGGGCCCAGCAAAATCTTAGAAAGTATTAAATAGGTCATTGCCTGAATGTTTGCGAGTTTGGAAGGGAAATTACAAATAATAGAAGAAGTTCATCGTTTTGAAAAATACAGGGCAGGGGGGTGTGATTTATTTAAGGATTATAAAGGAGTTTAATTCTGAAAAAGGTGGAATAAGTATATTCTCATTGGTGAAGGTATTATTTATGTGTGTGAGGTTTTGTGTTTTTTGGTTTTTTTGTTTTTTTTTTAATTAAAGGAGGAAACTAATAATAATAAAGATTACAGCTTCCCAGCTGGCCTTGAAGACCATGTTTTGGAGGAGAATATGTCACCTAACACAAGTATCTCAGCATTGGTCCCCAGTGAACTTACCCAGAGTAACACAAGCCTTGGCAGCAGCAGCAGCAGTGGAGATATAGGAAAATCCCATTACTCAGCAGGTATGGGGAAGGACTCTCCTCTCCTAATATACGCCCTTACTTTCCCTTCTCCCGTGACACGTACAGTAAGCCTCATTTGATGAGATGATCTCAACAAATAGATTTTGAATATAGCCACACCATACTGTCACTGTTATTTTATGTGGTCTACAAATACTATAGCTAATGATTTTAGTTGTGTATATTTGTGGATTATATCATTCAGTGTGTATCCGAATCACCTAGGTGGAGAATATATGATTATTCACTATATGATTCTTTCAACTTCTCAGGACATTTGAACTTTTTCATAATAGAAAGCTGGATAAAATAGAATTATAATTTTAAAAAATAACAGCTAAGATTTCACTGTTTCAGCAGAGGAACTCTCAAACTCTGGTATTCAAGCAGAAAGCTGGTTAAAAGTACACAGTTCTAAGGCCCTATCCCACAGACTCAGTCTCAAAAAATATTAGCCTAGAGCTTGAACATTTGTATATATTTTTAAGCAAATTCCCCAGGTGATTGTGATAATATATATATATATTTATATATATATCTAAATTTTATATATATATATATATATATATATATATATATAAAATACATACACCTTTTTATATTAAGCCATTTGAAAATAAATAGCAAATGTCATATACTTCCCCCCAAATGCTTAAGTATGCATTTGCTAAGAGTAAGGACAGTCTCTTACATAATGTGTTATAATGGTTACTTCTTTCTAGGAGAACTTCTACTTCCAAGAGGCATAAAAGGGCAGGACTTTGAAAAATCAGATCATGGTTCTTCTCAAAACACCAGCATGTCTAGCATCTTTCAGAATTGTGCAATGGAGGTAAAGTTCTATTTCTGCTCATGATAAAGTGACTGTGAAAATATTTTTATTTCAAAGTGACATTTTACAGAATCCTATGATACCCTTGTCAACAGAATAATAAATTAAATCATTTTGTCGAATTTCTTTGATATCTTTGTAAGCAAGGCAATAAACTGGTAGATTTACCTGTAAAGTAATTGAACTCCTAATTCCAAATTGGATCAACAGAAGAAATAAAATTCTGTGTTTATTAAGGTAGAATGGTCTCTTGAGGTCTTCACTGTGGCGCTTTTCAGTGTCTGCACGTTTCTGCTCTTAGGTTTTGATGTCAAGTTGTTCACAGTGCAGAGCTTGTGGGGCCTTAGTTTATGACGAAGAAATTATGGCTGGATGGACAGCAGATGATTCAAATTTGAATACAACTTGCCCGTTCTGTAAAAGCAACTTCTTGCCTCTTCTCAATATAGAGTTTAAAGACTTCAGAGGCTCTGCAAGGTTAGTATTGTAAAAGCTCCCTTAAGAGGTACGTGCCCCCCAACCGTCTTACTCCTGGGGAAAGAGTGAAATATTCATGGTATGTCCCAGGTGTTCTTTTCTTTTCTCTCCATCACTTTCCATATTTGAGTAGAAAATAATAGTAATATAGGAGATTACTTTTCCATTTTATTTAACATATAATTAGCAGTTAATTCTTACAGCTAAACTTTATAGCTAATTGAAAACTCCAGTGTTAGTCATTACTATAAACTTTCTGCCAGAGTGACCTTAATTATGTCTTCTAGCAACAAACAAAAAAATGGAGGGTGGGATGCTTGAACTCTTCTTCTTAACTGGTAGTCCTCTGTCCAGTGAAATGACCAAATTCTGAACAATGAGGAGTCTAGCTGATCTATAATCAGCCATTAAGTAATTGAGAGTTTGTAACTATGCTGACCTAAGTAATTATACTTAATATTCTATTTATATTATGGAGCACTCCATATTGTCCACTTTTAACTGCTTCTTAAAAATATCCGATTGTAGATGTGTTTCTTCTTCATTTTTCCCTTTGGCTTCAGGTGTGGAGCTGAGTGAAATCATACTCTAGTTCCTGATGTAGTATCAGTGGTTGTGTAAGGGCCCTCTTGTATTATCTTCCTCCCCTGCCCATTTCCATTCCCATTGCTTTATCCAACAAAGACATTGTTCTGTCTGTGGTGTATCCTTGAATATATATGCTTATAAAATATGTTATTTTGCAGGATTACGTATTTTTAACTTACATAATTAGAATCATGCTGAAAGTCTCTTATTTTTGTAATCATTCAGTTTAAAATCTATCTGAGTTGCTATATATAAATCTAGTTAATTTCTTTTCTCCTGTTGGAAGTTAATACCTCATTTTACTTACCTGTTATCCTTGTGTTGGATATTTCAGTTGCTTCTAGTTCTTTGTTGCTATAAATATCACTGCAGTGATACAGTACAATGTAAAATACATTTCTACTTCTGGACTTGTGAAGTAGTTTCTCCCAGAATAAGTCTGAGGAGTGAGACCATTGGGTCGTTTCATACATGATTTCAATAAACACCAGAAGATTGTTTCCCAGGTGGCAACACTCCCAGTACTTCTTTCTAAGGATTTTCATTTCTGCACCTCCTTACCAGCATTTGGTATTATCACTTTTCTGATTTTTATATTCTAACGAGTATTAGTGGTATCTCATTTTTGTTTGAATTTCTTTGATACTAGAGAGTTTGAATGCCTCTTATACTTGTTATTCCAGGACTTTCTATGAATTGCCTGTACCGTTGCCCTTTTTTATATTAAGCTTTCTTTTTCTTATTGATTTCTACCTTGAATATTTTTGAAATTAATTCACGGAAGAGCAATAATTAATTTTGCTGTCCTCATCCATTAATTTTAAACCTTATGATTTGTGCTTTTCGAGTCTTGTTTTAAAAGTTCCTTCCCATCTGCAGGACATGAAAATTTTCTCCTGAACATTGTTCTGATGTTTAGGTCTTTGATCCCGCATGCACTTCAAATTCCCATGTAAACACTGTTCTCTTCTTTTTGTCAAGATCATATTATTTTTATTATTCTTCGTGTTGTTTCTATAAGTTCCCCCATATAGAATTATTTTTTTGCTTATAGTTATACTTATTTTAAAAATTTTAGAGTAATTTTAAGTTCCTTAAAAATATTTCATCTGGAGTTTTTATTGGATTTGCATTAGATTTGTGGATTAACTTAGGAAAATAGACATTTTCAATATTCTCATCTGTGAGCATGGTATATAGCTTCATTTTTTAAAGATCTTTTTTATGTACTTTTATTCTCCATAAATCTTGTACTTTTTTGTTGAGTAACTGTGTTTCTTTTTTCTTTCTTTAATATATTTTATTGATTTTTTACAGAGAAAGGGACAGGAATAGAGAGTTAGAAACATTGATGAGAGAGAAACATCAATCAGCTGCCTCCTGCACACCTCCTACTGGAGATGTGCCCGCAACCAAGGTACATGCCCTTGACCAGAATCGAACCTGGGACCTTTCAGTCCGCAGGCCGACGCTCTATCCATTGAGCCAAAGCAGTTAGGGTGTAACTGTGTTTCTTAAGCTATTGTGGAATCTTATTTTATATTTTCTAATTGAAAAGGAACATTATTGATTTTTCTTTCCAGTATGTCAGTATGGAAAATTTCAAACTTAGAATTGTTTAAAGAATTTTTTTTGCAGTGACACCCTACATTCTACAATTAACATTTTACTGTACTTGCTTTATTACCTATTTATCCCTCCAGCCAAAAGTAAAATGTAGACATTTATATACTTCTCCTCCAAAGACTTCAGCATGCATATAATTACTGGATTTCAGTATTTTTTCTTTTGACGTAAAGTTAGTATACAGTAAAATGTACAAATTATGAATGTATACGTTTGTATAAATTCAAACCTTTATCAAGATACAGAACATTACTGTTACCTCAGAAAGTTCTCTTAATGCCCCTTGCAAGGCCCAGCCCTCACACTGTCTCCCCCTCCCTCCCCCCCGAAAGAGAAGGAGAGACATATAATATGAGGAAAATAAAATACTGAATTAATAGAGGGGAGAGGAAAGGACTAGAGACAAAATGGAGATTTTATAAGGGGGAAAAAGAGGTATTATAAATTACAGCTTGATACATGTTAAAATGCTGCTGTTGCTTTTTAAACTCAAAATTAATGTAATATTTTGCGTTTTATCTTCCTTCATAGTGTTCTTTAATGGTTTTCAAAAACTGAAGGAATCTTATATTGAACTATAATGACCTCCTCTAGACCTTTCATTTGAATAGTTTAGGACAGGAGGGAAAGAATGAAAGCAGGAGTGTATGAGTTTGTGTGTTTGAAATAGGCAGTATTTCTATGGGTTATATAATTCATTAATTACTGCTTTACCATAAAGTGATTCTAAATATGAAATTTAGAAGACTTTAGCATTTATGAAGATTTTTTTATTTGGACTGCTCCATATTTTTTAGCTTTTTCCTGAAACCAAGTACCTCTGGTGACAGTTTACAAAGTGGCAGCATTCCACTGGCAAGTGAACCTTTGGAGCACAAACCTGTATCCAGTTCAGCAGAACCTGACTTGATCAACTTGATGGATTTCCGGAAACATAACCAGACCATAACTGAAGAAACAAGCACTGCAGTTGAATCAAGGTACCATATGGTATAGAGACTTCCTCACAATAAATTGGATATCCTTGCAAAAATTCCATCTTTAAAGATAACCTGACTCCTGTAGGCATTATTCTGGCATTTAAAAAAAGTAATCTTAACTGTTTACTACCATACATTGCTTAAATATTTGATGAGTGCATCTGATGATTAACCATTTTTTAAACTATGTTTAATGTTTTACAGTGTTTTGTACAAAATGAACTTCTTAACCAGTAAAAAGTATTTTCCCCTTTAGTATAGCGATTGCCAGTTTCCAAAGACATACTCTTAAATATTTATTGAATCAAATATTTATTGAGAGACTATTGTATGCTAGGCATAAATACTAAAAATAAAAAAGTAAGTTCTGGTCTCTATCCTTAGGTGGATCATAGCCTGGTAGAAATTAAATACTTGTCAGTGAATCTACATGACTTATTTGCATGCAGCACAGTTCTTCTAGGTGATTTTGTTTAATAACGATGAAATAATGTTTGAATAGAGCAACTAAATGGGTACTTAATCTTTTTTAAATGAAACCTGTTGTCTACTATATGTCCTTTTTCCAGCCTTCACCAGAGTCATTTACTCTATCCTAAGAATGCCTGAAGAAAATTTTATTTAAAAAAATATATTTTTAAAAAGATTGATTTTAGGGAGAGAGAGAAAAACATTGATGGCTGCCTCCTCCATGCCCCTTACTGGGGATGGAACCCACAGCCCCAGACATATATCCTGACTGGGAATTGAACTGATGACCTTTTAGTGCATGGGCTGATGCTCAACCAATTGGTTCACACTGGCCAGGGTGAAAATTTTATTCTTATAAGTCAGTACTGACTCCTCTTAGATATATTCAATAGACTAAAATTCATTGTAGAAAATACTCTAGCTCTACAGATTTAGATTGTTTTACAGAACCAGTTTTCATTTTTTTTAAAGTGATGAAATAAAGAATGCCAGTGGAGATGTTCAAACTATGGAAATTTCACCTGTGCCTAATAGTTTATCAAAGCGGAATGTATCTTTGACTCGAAGTCACAGTGTTGGAGGTCCATTGCAAAATATTGACATTTCCCAGCGACCATTTCATGGCATTTCAACAGTTAGTCTTCCAAACAGTCTGCAGGAAGTTGTGGTATGTAACAACATTATAATTATCTATACTAATAAATTATCTATATTAATTATCTGTGCTAATTAAACCAGACATCTTCCAGACAAAGCCACAGTAGCAGGGGCCGAGGCAGAGGCACTTAGGGGCGATCAGGCCGGCAGTGGGGAGCAGCTAGGGGATGATCAGGCTGGGAGGGGGGAGCAGTTAGGAGATGATCAGGCCAGCAGGGGAGGGCAATTAGGGGGGCAATCAGGCCGGCAGGGGAGGGCAGTTAGGGGGTGATCAGGTCGTTAGGGGAGGGCAGTTATGGGCGATCAGGTCGGCAGGGGAGGGCTGTTGGGATAATCAGGCCGGCCGGGGAACAGTCAGGGAGATCAGGCCGGCAGGCAGAGGCAGTTAGGGGTGATCAGGCTGGCAGAGGAGCAGTTAGGAGCCAGAAGTCCCAGATTGCGAGAGGGATGTCTGACTGCCAGTTTAGGACCGATTTCTGCAGTCGGACATCCTCCGAGGGTTCCTGGATTGGAAAGGGTGCAGGTCAGGCTGAGGGACTCCCCCCGCCGCCTCCGGTGCACGAATTTTGTATATTCATGTAAGTATGTATTAGCACAGTACATAATTCTTATGTAGAAGATTTAAATGACATAAAAAGTGATTGAGAATTTTTCATAAACAGAATGTTTTAAAATTTCAAATATGTACAAAAATAAACAAGAGTAACATAAATGAGTCCCTTTGAGTCATCAAGATTCAGTAATTTTAAACTTATAGCCATTCTTCTTTCATATATACCCTTACTTCCCTACAAATTATTTTAAAGGAAATTTCAAACAACATATATTCCATTTGTAAATATTTCAGTATGTATCAAACTAAAAATAAATAACATCAAGTTATTCAGTTTTTGTTCAAATTTCTAATTGTTTCAAAAATGTTAAGTATGTTTGTAGTTTGAGGAATCAGGATCAAAGAAGGCCCATGCATTGCAATTGTTTGAACTTTTTTTTTTAGTCTGTCTTAATCTGTACACTTTCCTTTTTCCTCTTGCAATTTATTTGTTGATTACAACCCTATAAATTGGTAATTGTACCTAGAAGCTTGGTCAAATTCAGGTTTTTGTTTTGTTTTGCTATTCATTTGTTTGTTTATTTTTATAAGACAACTCCATTAGTGGCAGTATGTTTCTCCAGTATAGACATGAACTATCTTTGTGATTTAGTAGTTATTAATGCCCCATTGCCTAGATCAGGTTATTCATTTGGAGCTTATAAAATGATGATAGTCTGTTATCTTTATTATATGGAATACATCTATGAAGAGAACCTTCCCCCAGGTCTTCTGTTTGGTTTTCTAACGATGCAATTTATATTGGAAAGGTAGTCCAGCCTCCCCCTCCCACCTTTTTTTTATTAACCAATTTTCAGAATAGCAAGTTGGGTTCTTAGCATTCTCCAAGGTGATCCGTTAATTTGGGGAAATAAGGTGTCATTATGATTTTTAACATTTATGTTTACATCCATTGCTGTCGTTATCCTTATTGATGTTAATTGCATTATCCCATCTTTGCCCAGCTAGAACTCTCTACAGGTTGGTGCCTTATTCCTTGTGACACAACTCTAGTAGTCTTTAAAAAAATTTTTAAGTTTTCTTGCTTTCTTTTATGACAAGATGTTTCATGCTCATGTTATATAGTCAGCCATTTCTCTAAGAAACACTGGTTCCTTTTAGAGGGAGATGATATTTAGATATCTCAGACTGTGTACTAGGGGTATTTATTACTTATTACTGAGTTAATCATAAGCATTTTATTCTGATTATATTATATACAACTTATAAAGTCTAGGTTGTTTTTTCATTCATTGATTTATAAAACTGCTTTTTGTTGCAATCAAATGTAAAAATGATTTAGATATAATTTTAAAAGGAGTCTAAGAATATTAATACAAAAAATTTCCCCATCTCTTTAGAGTTGTAGGAGGAAGATAAAGTCACACATATTTTTTGGTATCATTTTACAACATCTGAAATGTAAACATTTATTTTTAAAAATTGACCAAAAAAATCAATCATACACAGACCATTGCTCTTATCAACTTGATAGAAAAACTCCATCATGTTTAAAATAGGGTCTATTATATGGGTTATTAATTTTACCTTATTTAACTGAAAGGTAATTATGATTAAGTATTTTTTGTTAGGTTTTCATTAGGATGTTCTACTGCATTGTATCAATGGCCAGGAAATAACTGACTTTGAAGGGATAGATAAACATAATCTCATTGAGAAATACTTTTTTATTTTTTTTAAATTTATTTCAGAGAGAGGAAGGGAGAGGTAGAGAGAGATAGAAACATCAATGAGAGAGAAACATTGATTGGCTGCCTCTGTAAGCCCCACACTAGGGATCGAGCCTACAACCCAGGCATGTGCCCTAACTGGGAATCGAACTGTGACCTCCTGGTTCATAGGTTGATGCTCAACCACTGAGCTACCCCAGCAGGCCAGAGAAGTACTCTTAAACATACAGAATTAAATAGATAATATTCAGCCGAAACCGGTTTGGCTCAGTGGATAGAGCGTCGGCCTGCGGACTGAAAGGTCCCAGGTTCGATTCCGGTCAAGGGCATGTACCTTGGTTGCGGGCAAATCCCTAGTAGGAGATGTGCAGGAGGCAGCTGATCGATGTTTCTCTCTCATCGATGTTTCTAACTCTCTATCTCTCTCCCTTCCTCTCTGTAAAAAATCAATAAAATATATTAAAAAAAAAAAAAAGATAATATTCACTTTTTTTGTATTTTTATTTTTTTAAGGATCCTTTGGGAAAAAGACCCAATCCTCCCCCCCTTTCTGTGCCCTACTTGAGTCCTCTAGTGCTTCGTAAAGAACTTGAATCTTTGCTAGAAAATGAAGGCGATCACGTGATCCACACATCCTCTTTCATCAATCAACATCCGATCATTTTCTGGAACCTTGTATGGTATTTCAGACGTTTGGACCTTCCTAGTAACTTGCCAGGACTTATCCTCACATCTGAACATTGTAATGAAGGTATACAGGTAGAGTGCAAACTTCTATACTTACATTACATTGGTGTTGGTTAGGATGAGGCTTAAAGTAACAGAAAGTATGCAATAGTGGCTTAACAAGATGTAGGTTATTTCTCTCACTTAAAAGTTTGGATAGGTGGACCAGGAATGTTACTGTTAGGGACCTGAGATGCTTCTGTCTTTTTGCTCAGCTGTATATGACCTCCATTTCCAAGTTCTACACCAGGATGGCTGACTCTTCTTCTAAGCTATCACATTCACATTCCAGTTAACAGTAAGGAGAAAAATGGATAGAAAAGAGTATGTCTTTCCTTCTTTAGGGACAGTTCCTACAGTTGCACATAATATTTCCATATGTAGTCATTTGTCCTGATCTTAGTTATATGGTCATTTCTAGTTGCAAGGAGGCTAGAAAAGGTAGCTTTTATTTTGAACTATCATATTCCCAGATGAAATTCTCACAGCAACTTTATTTTAAAAGGCTCATATTCTGTACACCTGAAATGAATACAAAATACAATTGAAAGAAGAATAAGGACCCATATTATCCTTATTTTTCAGATGATGTAATTAAGCTAAATAAGTAATTTTTGCAAGGTCACATAGCTAATATGTGATGGGGAGTCAAGATCCCACTCTGGCTGTGTCTAGCTCTAAAAGCTCCTACTCAATTGTTCTGGGAATCCCAATCCCACTGGAGACAGTGAGCTCCTAGAGTTCCTTCCTTCATTTTGATATTGAATATTGAGAGGCACCCACACCCAAGCATACACCAGGGTCGCAACACAGTCTTAAAGTAGTACAAATTCTATGTTGACCCATTAAGTAGTAGTCAGTACAAGATAGTAGAAACTTTTGCACTTACTCTTGCCTTCAAATTTGTTGTAGCCGAAACCGGTTTGGCTCAGTGGATAGAGCGTCGGACTGCGGACTGAAGGGTCCCAGGTTCGATTCCGGTCAGGGGCATGTACCTGGGTTGCGGGCACGTCCCCAGTAGGGGATGTGCAGGAGGCAGCTGGTCAATGTTTCTCTCTCATCGATGTTTCTAACTCTCTATCTCTCTCCCTTCCTCTCTGTGGAAAATCAATAAAGTAATATTTAAAAAAAAAAAATTTTGTTGTAATAGCAGTTAATCTTTCATATAGCCACTGTGCTAGTTACCATGTTGTAACTGCTAGTTACAGTGTATCCTTGAAATTTAGAATGCGAAACCTGTACTTCAGAAAATAATAAGAACATAAATCTTCAGATTTAAATAAAAATTGCTGCACAAAATTTTAGGTTCAGAGTTTTGAAAGAACTCATTTGTTTTATATAATCAAGTTTTGCTAGATCCCCGGGTAGTTATGATGGTAGGGGCACTAATGCTTTCTATTGATCTTTTTTAGCTTCCTCTATCATCTCTGTCCCAGGATAGCAAACTTGTGTACATTCAACTGTTATGGGATAATATCAACCTTCATCAGGAACCAGAAGAGCCTCTGTATGTCTCATGGAGGAATTTTAGTAAGTAAAATAGAATTAAAGACATAAAAGACTTAAACTGGAAACAACTCAAGTATCTATCCACACATGAATGAATAAGCCAATTGTGGAATCAGCTACCCATACAGTAGAGTACTACTTAGCAATAAAGAAGAATGGGCTACTGGGTGTTGGAAGACTAGAATTAGTGTGAAGAGAGAAACAAGTCCTTTTGCATTATTTTTTTATGCATTTCTAGTATCTCTTTAAGATTCTCTTTTGATTCAGATTGATTTGCTGTTACATTGAGCCAGTTAAGTACGGCAGGTCTCCCCATGAGTTTGGTTGGATGTTCGTAGACTAAATGCTATATAGTGGGAGAGCAATCTGGATGCATTGGAACAGTATCATTTCAGTTATATGGCTATTAGTCTCAAAGATTCTAGCTTATTTTTAGTCTTTTATATTTAGAATGTACTTTTACAGGAGGTTTTATTGTTGTTAATCCTCACCCAAGGAAACTTTTCCATTGATTTTTAGAGAGAGTGGAAGGGAGGAGGAGCGAGAGAGAGAAAAACATCGATGCGAGAGGGACACATCGATTGGTTGTCTCCACCAGGGCTGGGGATAAGCCTGCAACCGAGGTACGTGCCCTTGACTGGAATCAAACCGAGGAATCTTTCAGTCTGAGGTCCAACACTCTATCCACTGAGCTAAACCGGCTAGGGTTATAAGGGGTTTAATGGGTTATCATCCAGTTCAGAAACTCTGAGTAAATAAGAAACCACAAACAACAAATAAGTGAGCAAGTGCTATCAACAGGCAGTTCATGGAAGAAACATTCAGTGGCTTATATAAACTGTGTTAGTTTGCTAGGGCTACCTTAACAGAATATCACAGACTGGGTATCATGAAATAGACAAGTGATTCAAAATATTCTCTAATTTTTGGTGGGATGAAATTTAGAGCTCTCAAGAATGGACTTATTTCTTTACTTAATTGGTGCTATATATGAAGATTGGCATATACATAATTAAAAGACATATAAGAATTAAGTGAGTGATGACTTCCAGGAATGGCAGTATGAGGAGTTCCGCCACCCACTTCTCAGCAAAACAACCATAATTGGTGAAAATTATTAAAGGGACAAAAAGTCTAAGGCTATAGAGCAAATGAACAAACATTCATTCAAGAAAATATACTAAATTTCAGTAAAATTAATGTGCTCTGTGGCACTTGAGTTAGAACTTGCTGCTCCCTTCCAGCTCCCAGTCAGGGCTTCAGCCAGCCATTCTCTTTCTCAGCTCTGTTACCACAGAGGCGAAACTCCTCCATCCAGCTTCCATTCATTGGGCAGCCATTCTACCCCGGTTTTGGCAAGCCAAGAGTGCTGGGGTCCCATTTGTTCGTACTGCACCTTATAGGGCAGAAGTTTTATGCCAAGAAAGGCAAGCTGAAAAGATAGAGACTATGGCTCCAACCCAACACCCTGTCCACAAAGCAGGAGAGTCATTCTAAGAGAAGGGCCACTGTTCTGAGCCCAGCTTCAGAGCAGTGGCTCAGAGATTTATCCAGGAGGAGAGGTAGGTCATAAGAACAGAGAGCTCTGAAATTCTCTCAAAAGGTAATTGTAGCCCTAGCTGTTTTTGCTCAGTGGATAGTGTCGGCCTGTGGACTGAAGGGTCCCCGGGTTTGATTCTGGTCAAGGGCACGTGCCTGGGTTGCAGGCTTGGTCCCCAGTTGGGGGCGTGCAGGAGGTGGCCAATCAATGATTCCCTCTCATCATTGATGTTTCTGTCTCTCTTCCTCTCCCTTCTCTGAAATCAATAAAAAAAATTTTTTAAAAAGGAAATTGTATTTGGAACTGAGAACACTCTTGGAAACTGTGGAGATTTAGGTGAGAAGGGCAGTATCACGCTGATATAAAAACCAAAGACATACGTAAGAAAACTAAAAATCTATATCACTTATGAATATGGACATAAAAATTCTCAACAAAATAACTAGCAAACCAAATCTAACAGTACAGAAAAAGGATTGTACAGCCTTGATCAAATGCAGTTTATCCCAGGCATGCCATGTTCATTTAACATTTGAAAATCAATTAATGTAATACACCATCTATCCTATATAATAAAAGGCTAATATGCAAATAGACCGAATGGTAGAACAACTGGACAACCGGTCGCTATGATGTGCGCTGACCACCAGGGGCACACACAACATGGCTGGCATTGGCAGTGGCAAGATGGTGGAGCAGGTGAGCGGGGGCACCAGACCAAGGCGGGGCGCCGGTCACTGTCACCGGTGTCAGCCTCTGGTGGTTACTGAAAATTCTTTGCTCCTGCACACCGTGGTCCCACCTTGCACTTGCACCTGATTGCTCGGCCCTGTCAGTGGGTGCAAGCAGCAGCTGCTGGCCCTGATTACCCCTCAGGGCTTCTCCACCTTCCCCTGCTCCTCTTGCACCCGCTGCCGGCGACAGCCCTGCTCGCATCCGCTGCCAGTGCCGGAGCCACAGCCAGTGCCCAGCACTGGTCCTGATTGCTCAGCGCCATCAGCATGTGCGAGTGGCAGCTGCGGGCCCTGATCGCCCCTGAGGGCATCTCCACCTCCCCCTGCTCCTTATGGGCGATCAGGGCAATAGCCATGGCTCACACTCGCTGCTGTGTTAAAAAACAACACTCAAGCTAGAAATAGAAGGAACTTCCTCAATTTGATTATAAGCATCTATGATAATTGGCAGTTTTCTTTTTTAAATATTTTTATTGACTTCAGAGAGGAAAGGAGAGAGAGAGAGATAGAAACATCACTATATTGGCTGTAATCAAAAGGACAGATAACAAGTATTGGTGAGGATATAAAGAAATTGAGACCCTCATACACTGCTGATTAGAATAAAAAATGGTGCAATTGCTTTAGGAAAGTTTCACAGTTCCTCATACTAGTAGACACCATATGACACAGCACTTGCTCTTAGTATATATATATAGTGAAAACATGTGTTCACATAAAAACTATACACTATTCTTAGCAGCATATTTCTTAATAGCCAAACAGTGGAAACAACCTCTATGTCTATCGGCTGACAAATGGATAAAGTTTGGTATATCCAAGCAATGAAATATTATTTGGCAATAAAAAGTACTGAATACTGATATATATGCTACAGCATGGATGGATTTAAAAACATTATAGAAGAAGCCAGTCACAAAAGAGCATAGAAAGTAGGATACCACTTATATGAAATATCCAGAATAGGCAAATCTGTAGACAAAAGTAGCGGTTACCTAGGGTTGAAGGGTTGGGACGATAAAGGAGTGACCCCCTAGAGGTTTCTTTTGGTGGTAAACAAAAATGTTTTAAAAGTTGATTGTGATGGCTGCTCAACTCCCAGAATATATTCAAAACCAGTTTTGTAGTTTGGGTGAATTGAATGGTTTGAGAATTATACTAGTATCTCAGTAAAGGTGTTATTTTTATTTTTTTTAAATATATTTTATTGCTGTAACCGGTTTGGCTCAGTGGATAGAGCGTCGGACTGCGGACTGAAGGGTCCCGGGTTCGATTCCCGTCAAGGGCATGTACCTTGGTTGCGGGCACATCTCCAGTGGGGAGTGTGCAGGAGGCAGCTGATGGGTGTTTCTCTCTCATCGATGTTTCTAACTCTGTATCTCTCTCCCTTCCTCTCTGTAAAAAATCAATAAAATGTATTTATATAAATTTTATTGATTTTTTACAGAGAGGAAGGGACGAGGGATAGTCAGAAACATCGATGAGAAACATTGATCAGCTGCCTTCTGCACACCCCCTACTGGGTATGTGCCCGCAACCAAGGTACATGCCCTTGGCCAGAATCGAACCTGGAACCCTTGAGTCTGCAGGCCGATGCTCTATCCACTGAGCCAAACCGGTTAGGGCGAGGTGTTATTTTTAAAAACTGAATTAAAGGAGAAGCCATGAAGTTATATTTGGGTTAGGCTCTAAAATCACAACAGCATGAAAATCAAGTACTTTTTAAAACAATGTTTCCTATTCCAAGGAAACATTTAGCAGGTAGAAGAGCTAGGATAGAAACCTACAGCAGCCAGTATTTTCTCTTTTATTTTAACAGAGAACTTTGCTATTTATTTGGTTGAACACAAATGAAGTATTACTAGTTACCTTTATTAAGGGGCTATGTTGTATGAAAAATACAAGTTTACTTCATGGCAGGCACTTAGAATGAGGCTAGACTGGGAAATTACTGGATACATATTCCCATCTCAACTAATTGTAAATAAAATTATATGGCTGCTGGGATTACAGTATTAAAGTTTTCCCTTTTTGTGGGCCAACCACACTGGTGATCTTATTTTTCATGTTAGTATGATTCAATTCCAGTGTATCACTGAAGCACTTTTCTATCTATGAAATCTATATAAATGTTTGTTCTTAATTCTAGAATTAGCCTTTATCAATTAGGATAATATTCTGCTACGTTTAATAGAAAATAACAGAAATTTAAACACTAAAGATTACTCTCTCACATAAAGTATGAAGTAGACTCTCTAGGACTGATAGGCAACTGCTCTGTGGTCAGGAACCCAGGCTCTTTCTGTTGTGTCTACTTTTGCATCAGTAAACGATGCTTTATAGTCACAGGATGGCTCCTGGAGTACCGGCTGTCACCCCACCCCCTAAGCCTCTGACCCCACCTCAAACACAAAGTCTTAAGTTCAGGGAAAGGGCAAAGGGGCAGGTCTCTTCTATCTGAAGAAAGCAGGAAAATATTTCTTAGTGGTCACATTGCCACATAATTTTACTAGTGAAGGGCAAGGTGATGTTGAATAAAAAACTAGAGCCCTAACTGGTTTGGCTCAGTGGATAGAGCATCGGCCTGCGGACTGAAAGGTCCCAGGTTCGATTCCAGTCAAGGGCATGTACCTTGGTTGCTGGCACATACCCAGTAGGGATTGTGCAGGAGGCAGCTGATCGATGTTTCTCTCATCCATGTTTCTAACTCTCTAGCCCTCTCCCTTCCTCTCTGTAAAGAATCAATAAAATATATTTAAAAAAATAAAAATTAAAAACTAGAAAATGCTTCAACTCTGGAAAAAACTTTAATAATTAGAGTGGATAAAGATATTCTTAATTACTGTGTTTTTATTATTAGATTCTGAAAAGAAGTCATCTGTCCTGTCAGAGGAACAACAAGCAACAAGCACTTTAGTAGAAACCATCAGGCAGAGTATTCAACGTAATGATGTTCTTCAACCCATCAACCTGCTTTCACAGCAAATGAAGCCAGACAAGAAAAGACAAAGGTAATAATTGTTTACCACTCAAAATAATGTCATGTTAAAAAACTATTTAAAATATCTCTAGTTGTAAAAGAAACATATACTCACTGTAGAACATGTTTTAAAAAGTACTTATTTGAGCACAAATTAGTATTGGTTTCGGGGGATAGATTAAATTTTAGGAGGTAATTCATATCAAAAGTGTATGAATCTTTGGGAAACATGAATGCTATTCATGGAAACCCTCTTGTGAATTTGTTAGCATTGATGTTATACATATGTTCTACTTGGTTCAGGCCCTGTCATATCCGTACGTCTTTTCCTTACTTGAAGGACATTTAAAAAAAAAAAAAAGTGGGTTTAGGAGTAGAAACAATTTAGGAAAGTGATGGAAGCAGTGAATTACAAAGGATATGGAGCTCTCCTGATCCTCTTACTATTGTCTGTGAACATGCTTGGATCAGTACTCATCCCAATGTCAGCATAAGTGAATTTTGCAGAGGAAGCTTCAGAAAACCTTAGTATGAGGATAATGAAATGGATGGATCCTCTTATTGAGGTACAGATGACCTCCTTTACAGTCTAAAAAGCACCTAGTTTCAAGCATCTGTGGTATAAGGGCAGGGAAGGAATATTAGAAATGACCTGCTATGGCTTCTGAAGCTTCTAAAGAAAAGCTACATGGAGCATCATCAGTCAGCATTACTAATTTTTTCATTGTGTATAAACAAATCAGTTTACTTCCTAAGTTATTTTTAACAACTGAGTTATGAAGCTTATTTTTCAGATTTCATTTGTGACATTTTTATGTCCACAAATCAAAGGTGATTTATCTTTTATGGTTGGGTTAGATAGTAGAGACCACTCCACCTTTCACTCCATGTCAAAGCGTTTTAGACTCCTTAGAAATTGTTACTTTGTCAAGTGGCAAAAGATGACAGAAGACCCTGCCTTTGTAAATTTTAATTAGGAATTAGAACAGTTATATTGTTAAAAAAAAAATTGTAAAAAAGTTAAACCATTTTTTGTTTTTGGGGTTTTTTTTGTTTTTTGTTTTTTTAAAAATATATTTTATTGATTTTTTACAGAGAGGAAGGGAGAGGGATAGAGAGTTTGAAACATCTATGAGAGAGAAACATCGATCAGCTGCCTCCTGCACACCTCCTATTGGGGATGTGCCTGCAACCAAAGGTACATTCCCTTGACCGGAATCGAACCTGGGACCCCTCAGTCCGCAGGCCGACGCTCTATCCACTGAGCCAAACCGATCAGGGCTGTTTTTGGTTTTTAACTTGAAATAGATATTCAAAGGAAGTAGTTGCAAAAATAGTTAAGAACCCTTCCCCCAAAGGTGACATCTCATATAACTCTGCCACATATCAAAACCAGGACATTGTTAGGCCAGAGAACTTAATCCTTCTTTTTAAACAATTAAAAATACCTTCACATATTTATTTGCATACTCTTAGCCTATTGACTTTAAAAATATTTGTTTTATAGGAGTTTATACAGAGAAATCCTCTTCTTATCATTAGTGTCTCTTGGAAGAGAGAATATTGATATTGGTAAGTTGGTTAATTAGGCACTTTTTCCTGTTTTCTTACATTTTACTATTTTCAAATGTAATTTTACGCTTTATTCTCAAGGAATTTTATTTCCTAAAGTAATTTTTAAAATTGTAGCTGGTATGGATAAATACTCCACCTGCCTTTGAATATGTGGTGTATATATGATTGGACTACCATATATAAATGCATAAATTTTTTCTTTAACAAATAACTGCATTTTTGAAATTGTCTTTTCCAGAGGCTTTTGATAATGAATATGGACTTGCATACAATAGCCTATCTTCAGAAATCCTTGAAAAGTTGCAGAAAATTGACGTTCCACCAAGTGTCAGTGTGGAATGGTGCAGGAAGTGTTTTGGAGCACCTCTCATTTAAACTACATTTCAGACACACAAAGCTGGGGGAATAGACTCAGTCTGGAAACTTTCAAGGTTTGTTCTGAATGCTAAGAATTGGTGAAAACCGAAATGATCTCTTGGGACAACATATGAAACGTAACATACCAAATCACCTAGAAATGAAACAACACCATTAAAATGCCCCAGGATTTATTTATGTTGAAAATTTCTAACTTCTGAATGGTTTATCTGCCTCTTCTGAAAACTGTTTGGATTTCTTAATGTTTGCAATAGTTTGATAATGAGAAACCGCATTCATCATTGGCATTGTTTATATTTGAAGCTAATTGGGTTTGGGGAATGACAAATTAAACTTGCCTAACCCCAATACAAATGAAATATCTCTTAAGAGCAACTCTATGTGTGTGTATATATGTGGCTGTGTAGGTATGTGTATATACAGCCATATTATATTTATTAAAATTTATAGATTATGTATTGAAGTTTTCTGAAAGGGGTCTAAGTGACTACTACTAAATTCATCTGTAGTCATTAATCTCAAAATTAACTGCAAAGTCTGATGACAACTGCCTTGACTTTAAATTTAATATATATCTTTACCCTTCATATTTTATTTTCCTTAATGGATTTTATCTTGAACATCCAGTCACTTCCATCTACTTCCCACTAGCATGTTAATATACAGCAGCTTTATAATTGAATAATACATGAGTCAGTTTAAATGACATTAAATTGGCTTCATATTTCACAAAATTGGAACATGCCTAAAATGCCTGTATATATATATATATATAGTCTTTGGACCTGAAATGGTTCAGGCACAGTAAATGGTTGCTATTGGTCACTTTTTAAAACCTGTGGGATAAACTTGCACTGCAGTTTTATTCTTGTATAATATATAGATTTGTATGCTTGTGCATTTGTAAATAGTTTTTTTAGGATAAATCAATTAAGTCTTAATACTTTAAAGCTATTGAGCTTGTTTGCCAGATTTAAGAAAATCATGACCTCACATGCCTGACAATTTTGCCTTTTGTTAAAAGCCCTTAGGAACAGTAAGATTGCCTTAACTCTCTGCGTGGTGTAAAACACCAGTGGTTGTGTTTTATAGTAATTATACATGACTAAATCACTGGTACAAATTATTTACTGGTAGTTAACAGCACAAATCTCCTACCTGGTATAATCTTTTACATGTTGTTGTTGTACCAATCTTTCATCGTTTAGGGTTAACCTGACCTTTGCAGAATTCTTGTTTCAGTTTATTGTGAAAGAACTTCTCAGAAATTATGTACAATTCTCTTTACCTTAAAAATGGATCTTTTGCACTAACTCAGAGTATATATTTTTGCAACTAAGACTTGGTACTAGTTTTTAATACTTAACACTTATTATCCCAACAGAAAGTTTGTAATTACTCTTGTATATAAAAAAGATGGAGATTGAATGAAAGGAAAAATTGTCACCTTTTTAAGCCTCCAGAAATGTACACAATTTGAACCTTTGTGACCTTTAGAATTCCAAAATTATCTATTTCTCTGTAGCCTGAAACTAAATTACCACTAAACAAAGAAAAAATCTGTAATGAATATCTCCTTACACAGTTAAGAGTATTTAAATTTTCTAATAACTTTTTGTAACATTCTAAGTAATAGCCATTATATATTGGAAACTTGAGTCTGCTGAAATAGAAGTGGATTTATTTTAAAGGCTTTTTCTAGCACCTACCACAGAAAGGGTACCACTAAAAGCTTATAAAAAAAATCTCATTTGAATTATCTATAGTTTTAACACTGTATGAAACGTATCCTCCTGTTAACTTCTGAAAGCGGTCTTTCAAATTAGTCCAGATTATTTTAAAATGTTAACACGTTAAGCGCCAAGCCTGTTTTGTCTTCCTTTCCATTTAGCCTGCAATATCTGGTTTCACCGATATGCTGGCAGCACCAGTAACTGACCTGTCTGGACTAAAAGTATAGTGGGCTCAACGTGTTAAAACTATTTTTGGATTTGGTAATCTAACTTTAGCTGCATTTTGTAAATTGATTATAGCATCCTGCATGGTTAATAATGAGCATAAATCTCCCATTAAATCTGGGATATTAAATTGTTGCCTTTTTTCATTTTTGGTACATAATACAAGATTGAAGATGTTTGTTATCTCAGTAACTCTTGAAATCTTAAATCTGCCAGAACTCATGAGCTAAAATAGTGTAGGCAAGCCATGTGTCCGCTTTAGAGAATGCACTTAAAATCAGCAATGTGATTCATGGTTTGTGTATTAGGGTCAATCATGTACGTACTGGTTAACACAGACCTATACACCAGACTTGCCTTTTGGCCTTGTTATCCCCACTGTATGTCCTTTTTGTTATCTTTAAAAATGCTACATTTTCCCTTTTAATTTCTATAGTCAATTGCCAATTAAGACTTTTCATGTCATATAACTAATACCATGTATTAAGAGCAATGGGGATCTCTTACTGTTATCTAAGAATCTTGTTTTTCACAGAATGATCCAGGAACTGGCATTGGTCGCACACGGGAACTTATCTGTGTAAAAACTACTTCAAAATTTTACAAACTGTGGTTAAACTATACTTCAGCAAATGAGCCTCTTCTTCATCCTTAAAGCCTAATGTGCCTTTTTAAGATCCTTCTACCCTGTAAAGGATAGTTTTGACTGTAATTACCAGAGATTAGATATGGTACATTAGAAAAAGTGTACTACTTTCCCTTTGTGCATCCTTTATTGATGCAAGTTTTTAATCTTAAAACAGACATAGTCAACTCCTTTTCAGAGTGAAATAGAAAACATGAATAATTCACTGGAGTTGAAAGCTTTCTGTTAATGTAGTACATTTGCACTGGTTTTAAAAGCTTTGTGAACTTTTGCAAAATGGTATCCACTATGGTTTTAACAAGTAATCTTTTTCATCACATATGACAAATGTCCATCTTCACAAGGGCACTTTTCATGTATTGTGCGTAGATGTTTAAGAAAAACTGTATTCCTAAAAATAAAGTGTATAAAAGATTAATAATCCTAGTCATTTATTTTCCTGAAATTATTGACTTACTGAAAATGCCTTATGCTAAGAATCTCTTCCTGAGCCACCCAGATACCAAGAGAAACCATATCCTGCACACATCCCTCACCATCACAATGTACTTCTAAATTTGAAGGATATGTCACTTTTAAGTTTTAGCCATTAGATTGCTGTACACAGTATTCCTTTTTCTATGACCCGAGTTTCTCTCCATTTATCTAATTTTTATCATCAATGAATAGTCGGTAAGGGGGCTTTGATGTTTGCTCTCCTTTATTTGTTAGTTACAAAAATCTCATTTTTGACTGGACTCAGACTTAGAGGTAGAAGCTCTCAGAGAGGACAGTCTACGTCTCTTCGCAATCTGTTCCTGACGTTTTTCTTTGGCCTCCTAAACAAAACAAAAAAGCAGTTAAAGCCTGTCTGTGTTGAAAATCTAAACCCAAAGTAAGGCCTGACTCCTCCCCCTGTCCACCCCAATCATCTTAGACTGACCTTCATTCTCTTAGCCAAAAGCTTAGCATATTCTGCGGCCTCTTCCTTGTTTTTCTTAGTACGTTGTTTCTTCAGAGCAATACGCCTGCGTTTGTGTTGCAGGACACGTGGAGTAACAAGACGCTGAATCTTGGGTGCTTTAGTCCTAGGTTTCTTACCTAAAAATTTAGATAATGGCTTAATCACTTCTCAATACCCTTGTTCATTAGGACCCATACCTACATTTTAAAAACTAGTAACAAACACAAACCTGAGTTACTATCTACGAAAACTTATTTGTATGAGGCCTTTTAAATCAATTTTGAAATATTTTACAACTTAAAAATACCACCACTTTCCCAACAAAAATACAAGGCAGGCTAAATACTATACAAATATAAGGAGAACTGAAGTCCTTCTAAAAAGTGATGAGGCTAATACTAGCTACCAGTTTTCCTAATTAGCACATTTAGCCCTCATGAAGACAGCTCATTAAGTCAAGCCCATTTGGATGTCAAGATCATATATAAATTTACGTTTTTTTAACAATAAAGTCACACACAGCTTTTTTCTATCACTTTGATTTCCTGCCAACTACTAAGGCAGTGGTTCTCAACTTGGATGCACATTAGAATCACCTGGGAATCTTGTTAAAATCCTGATTTCTGAGCCTCATCATTAGTAACAAAAAGACAATATCCGGAGGATGAGGCCCAGAAATCAGGATTTTAAAAGGATTCCCAGGTGATTCTAATGTGCAGCCAAGGTTGAGAACCACTGCCTTACCATAGACACAAGAATCATCTTAAAAACACCTGCTAACACTCACTCACTACACTGATGGTGTTTCCAAAGGTGTGATCATGGGGAACTCCTGTGAATTTGCCAATTATTTTTTAAAGCATAAGTTACAGGAGGCTAACACAGTGGGGCCTTGACTTATGAGTGTACCGACTAACGAGTTTTTTGAGATACCAGCTGTCTCTCAGCCGATTTTTTTTGCATTGAGTTGATAGAGTAATTTGAGTTAACGAGCTCGGTCTTGGAACGAATTAAACTCGTAAGTCAAGGCCCCACTGTACTATACTTTATCCTCAATCTTTAAAATAGTATCCGGCACATAGGGTGTGTGGGATATTTGGAATGAATGACTAATGAACTTAAAATAAGCCAGGTATAGGTTTACCTGGAAAAATAAAACCCAACCAACACCCTCCCCCATAATTTGCCAGAACCCAACCTGAATATGCTATTTATTCCATTTAATGTAAATGTTCATACATTTCATACAGAAATATTAATGTTATAAAATATTGCAGCCACAGACTACAGTCGTGATGGGTTATGTTGCTTAACAAGGTACCTTCTAAAAATATAGAACTACCAAACACCCATTCCCTAATATTCTGGATACAGTATAAACCTAATTCTCATAACTCTTACTATTGCTACTCATATCCCAGAGATGAAAATGCAAGTTCAACTGATGAAAGCATTTTATTTCTTTTGTAAACTCCTAGAATTTCTATCGTTTTTCCAACTTCTAACCTAAAAGCAATAAACTTAGTGTCTGCTAAGTTATTTTTGGATAAACATCAATTACTACCAGGAAAATTTTCAAGAAAAATTATAACTCTAGATAGAAGGCACTGGATATAACAAGGATTAATGACCCTCAATATTTTCCTAAAATCCCCAGGTAAGTTGTGGGCACAGATTTTGTTCTAATAAGCACTCAAAAACGCAGGTGACAGGCTAATAACCAAGTTAAACGAGCCCTAAATGTCATAATATCCCCTACCTTCTTTGTTTAGAGGCTTTCTCACAACATACTTGCGGACATCATCTTCTTTAGAGAGATTGAAAAGTTTGCGGATCCTGCTGGCTCTTTTGGGCCCCAGGCGACGAGGCACGGTGGTATCAGTGAGACCAGGAATATCTTTCTCCCCTAAGAGACATGTGAACAAAGACACTTTAATTCACCTTCCCTTTAAAGAACCCTAAGTTACTGCTTTCACTGGTAAAAACCAAACAACCCCATTGGGTATGGCAAATGAGAATGCATTTGGACAATCAGCTTTAAATCAATGCCAGCAGTAACTGAACGCAAGAACACAAGCCTCACCTTTTTTGACAATGACCAAGTTGAGAACACTGAGGTTGGCATCCACAATGCAGCCCCGAACGGATTTGCGCTTTCTCTCCCCGGTCCTCCTGGGTCTGTAACAGGAGTGGCCCTTGCTCAGCAGCAGGCGGACTCGGCCGTGGGTCAGGACACCCTGCTTCATGGGGAAGCCTTGCTTGTCGTTCCCGCCACTGATGCGAACCACATAACCCTGCAGAATACAATGACACTTCACAAAAGGAAGGGCTGTGGCCTCCACGACCTACACTCTCAATTCTAGCAGGTGCAGCTCTTTAAGTACAACCTGGAACTTCTTAAAAATAGAATTCCTCTGCTCACTCATGTTTGTCTGCATGTGCCAACCTCCTAGGTTCAATTAGCGAATTCCTTGCAATCAAGCCCGACTTCTAGCCTAGCCTAGGCTTTCCTAGAGGGAACAGTTCTATGGAAAACAGATTACAGGGTAAGAGACCAAAGTATCCACAAACAACGAAGAAACCAGAGACACCCTTTCTCGGCACTTGCAGCACTAGAAAGACGGAAATTTAGTATATGCCTATATTGCCCAAAAGCAGTCAAAATGACTGCACGGTGAAAGAATAATATCGGAGCACTCTTCACTTGTGTTCCTTAGCTTTTCCAATAACTCGCTTCTATTCGACATTTCTTTCATGAATTTAGGGCGCAAAAGAAATACAATAACTTATTAGAACAAGTATCACTGCATAAAGATTCGAATAACAAGTACTAGTTTAGCTTATTGAGCAACTGCAACTTATCAAGTATCGACAATTTATCATGTACTTGTATGTTATCTATCATGTGATGGTAATCGAAAAATAAATGAAAACTGTTATTTCAATACAGAGCCGACCTGGTCATATAAGGAATTTACTCAATTCAATAATAAGAGTCATAATTTCCCCCCAACCAGTCAAAATGCCTGCTTTGGGGCAATATAAGGGTATAACACATATATATATACCGGAAATGAAGGAGGGGGAGGTAACTACAATTATTAATAAACGCATTCATATGTTGTAAAAAGTCACAAAATTCTAAGACATTGTGTCCTTATATACATAATTGTTTTTCTAATTGAAATTAAAAAACAGTCAAAATGACTTCCTTCGGCAATCTAGTGTTAAAAACACCCTTTGGAGACCATTAGCTTGCAGCGAGCGCAATTAGGGATGTATGCTTTCCCATTTGAGCTATAAAACCTCGCCAGGTGATAGCTCTACCTCACCTGGGTCCCCTTTGGCGGTCGAACGGCCCTTTCACAGGGGTCGCCTAAGACCATCCTGCGTATCAGATATTGACATGACGATTCATAACAGTAGCCACATTACAGTTATGAAGTAGCAACGAAAATAACTTCATGGTTGGGTCACAACATGAGGAACTGTATTTAAAGGGCCAGAAGGTTGAGAACCACTGCAAGGTCGGCAGACAGAACCGAGTTTGAAACCAATTACACAGCCAATTACCACCCCATTTACCACCGCCCCCCGCCTCACAGAGCGGCAGCCGGTCCGCTCCGCGATCAACTCGCACCTTCCATTCTTCACCCAGCGCGTCCGCAGCAACCTCTGTGGCCATCCGCTTCTCATAAAAGGTACGGAGTTTGCGTTCATCGTCCACTTCAATGAGTTTCTGGCAGCCAGTGGCTGGGAAAGAGATGTTGAGCTAAGGATTAAAGGGAGGGAAAAAGAGCTTAATGAAAACTACAGAGCCACCTACAAAGGCATTCCACTGCAAAAAGCCTTCCATGTCAAACCCCCACCCACAGCCAGCAGCAAAATGGAGATCATCGCTTTTATTCACTATAAAGCACGTATGTGCAATAACGCGCGACCAGCCCGGCGCTAAAAACAGGCCGTCGTCAGTCAATCCCCGCGCAACGACGCCGGGGACGAGGGGCTCCGCAGCCGTGCACCCGGGAGTAAGGAGCCCAACCGACAGCAGAGCCGTATCTGCCCGGCTAGGCCCGAGGACGCCGCCACCATGACGCTCCCGGCCCCACGCAACTCCAGCGGCAATCGTTCGCCATCCCCTCTCCCAAGGAGCTCCAGCCCCACAAAACAAAAGCTTTCTCCTACCTCAGACCCTCCTCTACCTAGAACCGGGGTTTTGGAGAGCTACAAAAGCAGCGACGCCGTGTCCTGGGGCTCGATTCATGCCCCCCAAGCCTAAGCCAGCACCCGCCATCTCCTCCTACCTTCATCCTGAAGCAGCCGACAGCCTCCGAGGCGCCACGAAAAAGAGGCTCAACTTCCGCTTAGGCCAGATCACATAGGCACTTCCAGTTCTCGCGAGATGGGCAAAAGCCTGGGAGAGCGGAAGTGATCATGGGAAGTCGGGGGTGGGGCTAATCTGCGGTCCGGAGGTG